TGATTTGATATTTCTATACATTATGAAATAGTCACGATAAGTCTAGTTACCATCTGTCACCATATAAAGTTGTTACAATATTATTGACTATATTCCCTATGCTGTCCATTGCATCTCTATGTCTTGTTTATACTATAATGGAGAGATTATACCTCTTAATCCCTGTCACCTGTTTTGTCCATTCCTCCACCCCCTCTGGCAACCATCAATTTGTTCTCTGTATCTTTGCATCTCTTTGTTTTCTTTGTTCATTCGTTTTTTAGGTCCCACCACACATAAGCGAAATCATATGGCATTTGTCTTTGTCTGACTTATTTCACTTAGCATAATACCCTCCGGGTCCATCCATGTTGGTACAAAAGGCAGGATTTCATGCCCCTTTTTTGACTAATATTCCATTGTGTAAATATATATACATCTTTATGCCTTTGTCTTGGCTAGATTTTGGCTATTGTACATGATGCTGTGATTGAACATTGGGGTACATGTCTTTTCAAATTAGTGTTGTCATTTTCTTTGGAAAAAATACCTAGAAGTGGAGTTGCTGGATTCTATGAGAGTTTTTTTTTTTTTTAATTTTTTGAGGATGCTCCATACTGTTTTCCATAGTGGCTGCAGCAGTGGGCATGAGGTTCTTCTCACCAACACTTGTTAGTGCAGAATTGCTAAACTATTTTTGTTTTTCATATTATTTGGATGATAAAACCAAAGTTTTATATGGGATTTTTGTTATTATAGGTGGCACCTTCTACAATTCCTAGCTATTAAGAGGTAATTGAGATGGTAAAACATAATATATAGGGATAATGACAGGACAAGGAGAAGGAATCCAAGATACAGTACTTAGTTTTATTTTTTTTTGGTATTATGCTTTACCTTAAATAGGATACAAATTCATTAAATATATTATCTTCCTGTTTGTATAATGGAGAAAACAGTTTCAAAAATTGTCTTTCTTGGAATATATGTGCTGTATTAAAATGTGTAATTTTGTGATTTGTGTGTTTATGGCTAAAAGGCTCACATTCTTCTGAAAGTACAGTCTAAAGTGGAAAACGGTAAAAGTGGCATATTCCCAAAATAAGGCACATCCTAAATCACAGTATAATTGCATCTTTCATTATGTCTTCTGATAATTTTATTAGAGAAGGTAAAATACTCAGAGTCTGCAGAGTTTTAGGGAGACCAGCCTTCAAGGAGTTGGGGACAGAAGTCTGACTTCCCTTAGTTAAGCTGCTCTTCAAAACTGCAGTGGTTTTCTACATATTTCTCAGCATCTTTCCCACTATGCCCTCCCATCTCCCACCCCACCAGGTTTCCATGCATCCTTTCTCACACAAAGGAGGCTAGAAGAACTTCTGAAGCTAGAAGGTGATTATTAAAGAGGTTAGTTACTTTGCTATGAAAAATCGAATCATTCTTCATGAGAAAGGAACTTCTGCATCATCTTACACTTGAATTTTGGCATAATTTTCTGTAAAACATCAGAAGCTGTTCAAGCCACAGCTCCAAAAAGGTGTGTACCTCTCTGTATTTGAGATTTGGCATATAATATTTATAAACAGAAGCAGAGTTTTTCATGGGACTGAATTTATCCTTAACAGTCTTTCCATACAACCAGATTAGAAACTTGACTAGAAGATTGCTTATAAAGAGTGTTAAACAGGTTCTCATAATGTAAATGTACCAACTATATATTGGTAAATAATGAGCTCTATGATAGGCCATTAAAAATCAATTTTTTTGATATTGACCAAAAGATAGCCTTATAATATTGATTTTTATGATACTACAAGATAGCCTTATAGCTTATAACTTTATGACTCATTCAATTGGGGGGGGCTTGGATACGATTTTACATTTTTTTTCCATTTTGAGATAATTGTATATTTGCATGTAGTTATAAAAAAAATAATGCAGAGAGATGTGATATTCCCTTCACCCAGTTTCCCCCATCGGTAGTATCTTGTGTAACTGTAGTATGTCACAATCAGGAAATCTACATTGGCACAATCCACTGATTTTAACCAGATACGTCCAGTTTTACATGCACTCATTTATGTGTGTGTGTGTGTGTGTGTGTGTGTGTGTTCTCAACTCTGTGCAGTTTTATCACATGTAGAATCATATGACCATCATCACAGTCAACACACAGAACAGGCTTACCACAAGGATCCCTCCAACCCTTTCAAAGCCACAGCCACATGCTTGCCCCCACCTCCTTGATCCCAACAAGTCTCTATTTCTGTTTTCCATATCATTTTGTCAGTTCAAGAATGTCCTATAAATGGGATAATATACTATTTAACCTTTTGAGGTTGGCTTTTTTCACTCAGCAGTACTTCCTTGAGACCCCCTAAGTTGTATCAATAGATCGTTCCTTTGTACTGCCCAGTAGTTTTCCATGTATGGATTACTAGAGTTTGTTCACTTGTTAAAGGATATGTGAGTTGTTGCCTACTTGGGGCTATTTAAAATAAAAGTGCTGTGAATATTTGTTGGCAGGTACAGGTTTTTTGTTTTGTTTTGTTTTGTTTTTTTAGAGCGAGAGCTGAGTTGGGAAGGGGCAGGGAAACTTAATCAGGCTCCACGCCCATCTCACAGCCCTGAGACCATGACCTGAGCTGAAGTCAAGAGTCAGACACTTAATGACTGAGCCACCCAGGTGCCCCTGTGTACAGGCTTTTATATGCACATTTGCATTTGTATACACATGCAGTTGCTGGGTTGCATACTAAATGCATAGTAAATTTTGTAAGACACTGCCATAGTCTTTTTCAGAGTAGCTGTACCATTTTACATTTCCACCTGCCCTGTATTAGTGTTCCAGTTTCTCCACATCCTCACTAATTACATGTTGATGTAATCTCGATTTTTAAAAATTTTAGTCATTCTGACAAGTGGGTACCGATAACTCAGTGTGGTTATTATTTGCATTTACCTAATGGCCAGTGATCTCTTTTTGTGAATTTCTTTGCCATCTACATACCATCTTCATCTTAACTGAAATGTCTTTGGTCCATTTTCTAATAGGATTTTTAAAAAGATCTATTTATTTTAGAGGGGAGGGACAGAGGTGGAGGGAGAGACTCCCCATTGAGCACGGAGCCCAGTGCTGGCTCAATCTCATGACCCTGAAATCATAACCTAAGCTGAAATCAAGAGTCAGGTGCTTGACTGAGCCACCCAGGCAACTCTCTCATAGGATTTTTTTTTTATACTGTTGAGTTTGAGTTTTGAAAGCTGTTTACATATTCTAGATTCAGGTCTTTGACAGAAATACCTTGCAAATATTTTGTCCCAGGCTGAGGCCTGTCTTTTCATTTTCTCCACGGGATCCTTCCTAGAGTATACATTTTTAAATTTTGACTAACGTCATTGGCTACTGAAACAAATCACCACAAATTTGGTGGCTTAAGAAAAACAGAAATTTATTTTCTCATAGTCTGGAGACCAGAAGTCTAAGATCAAAGTGTCAGCAGCCTACTCCGAAGGCTCAGGGGACAATCTTCCTTGCCTCTTCCTCCTCTCAGTGGCTCTAAGTGTCCGTTGGCTTGTGGCTGCAAAGCTCCAATCCCTGACTCTCTTCTCCTCCTCCACTGTGTCTCTCTTCTGCACATCCCTTGTAGGGATACTTGATTAGATTTAGGGCCCACTCAGATAATCCAGAATGATTTCATTCTGAGGGCCTTAATTACACCTGCAAAAATCCTTTCTCCAAATAAGGTCACATTCAAGGTTCCGGGGATTTGACAAGGACATATTTTTGGAAGCCACCATCCAACACACTTACAGAGGAGAAACCATGGAATACTGGAATACATTGGGTGGGCATGGAGGTGCAGCACCCTATCCTGCTGGGCCCTGGTGACCCCGGGGATCAGGAAAGGGCAGTGAACAGTGACCCACCCTTCTTTGCACTAGCTGGCTAAGTCTTGTTGCCTCCCAGGTGGGGTTAGATGCTTACTCTGCCACCGGGCCCAAATGATGCGTGGTCACACTAAGGGAGGCGTACGGGGTCTCTATCAGACCCTGGAGGGACATCAAAGGACCACTACCTACTTTTGCTGAGTAGAAGATGGAAAATCATCTGGTTGGTCAGCCTACACCACCTGGAAGGGTAGTCATAGTGCTACTTCTGCTCAACTTCATCAGAGCAGCACCACCTGCTTCTGTGGGATGGAAACAAGGTGGAGTGTAAGATCATCTCTGCCCACTGAAACCAGAGAGTGAGTGGGTGCAGTTTTAGGTTGATGTTTGGCTGCTATAGAATTTTGTTCCATTAGGTCACCCTTTTGTTCATAGCTACTCCTATAGCTAGGAAGAACAGGCTTTTTCTGGAAGCTTTTTGTTATTGTTCCTGCCCGTTGGTGGTTCCAGGTTGGAGGCTTCTGCAGTGACTTGTCTGGAATATATGGAAGGCAATAAGGAGACTCAGACAATGACTGCTGTGTCATTCCTCAAGTCCGAAGGTCCCTGGGCAGTTTGCCTTCTTTTCACCTCTGCTTGAATCTTCGTATTCTTATATGCAGAATCTTTTAGTTTTAAGAGGAAGGATTTGGGAGGAATGGGTTACTACATCTTGGCCAGAACCAAAAGTTGATTTATGACGCAATTTTTTTTTAAAGATTTTATTTATTCATGAGAGACACACAGAGAGAGGCAGAGACAGGCAGAGGGAGAAGCAGGCTCCATGGTTCCATGCAGGGAGCCCCATGCGGGACTCCATCCTAGGACCCAGGGATCATGACCTAAGCCAAAGGCAGACGCTCAACCACTGAGCCACCCAAGTGCCCCTGGTGATTTATTTCTAATTCATCATGCAGATCTAAAAAGATCTCAAACACAGGCTAAAAACTTATAAATTTCTATTAATCCCTGATTCACTCAATTTTAAATTTTAGATATCATTCTTCATACATTCTATTGGAATTCTTTTCAGTTTTTATGTTCCTATCTCCTACAATGATCAATTTAAGCAGTAAATGAAGAAAAAACAATTTAAAATATATTTTAGTTTTTAATTAATGCTGACTTCTGACTGCGTATTTTTTCTTACTGATTCTTTTACAGAGCATTTTCCAGGGGAAAAAAGCAACAGATAAAAGTGCATTAAGAACATTTGTTATTAACATCATTCTTATAAGAGATTAAAAGCTATATTTAATGCTATTCTCTTGTACAACTATGAGTTCTTATTTTCACAAAGTGCCTTCAGTAATTTGTACAAGGATATTGTCTAGAATAGTGTAACGGTATTTATGCATACTGACTTGGAAGTAAACTGCAGTCATTGCCACACATGTTTTCTACGGCCTTAATTCTTTAGGAACGATGAGTGACCACCCTGATGGTGTCCGCATCCCGATGGACTTCTCAGTGCCTTTATTCCGTCCTTTGCATTGAGGATGAAGCTTACCAAGTTGGAAGGCATGGTTGCTTCAATTATGGATGGGGACAATTTTCCTCTCATTTCTGTCTGAATAAACATCACTAGTTTGGAATGTGCTGGGTTCCTGTAAACAAAGGAAGAGTTAAAAAAATATAAAGATTTTTAAAATTTGTCCATTGAACTTCTAAGTTTATAGATACCAGGATTCTTGTCTCGTTCACCATGGATTCCCTCCATAGTGTTTATGACAGAACAGTTACTGAGAAGGGAGGAAGGAAGGACACAAAAAAGGGGCCGAGTGGTTTGCACTCATAAACATCGTACACAAAAAAATTAAGTAGCCAGACAACCTGTTAAGTCATCAGTCAGCTTTTCCTTTTTGTCATCTTAACTTTTAAATCACAAAATTAATGTATGCTTATAAAAATTTAAACAATTTTCATAATTATTCTCCTTATTATGTTCTCCAGAGATCATCACTGTACCTTTTGCTGCATCTTCTTAGACTACTGTGTGTGTATACAGGAAGACAGCATGCATATGTGCGGATGTGGATACCTACCCCACATATATACACAATGTACAGACTTTTGTCTTTACAAAAATGACCTACTTTTCTGTAACTAGTTTTATTTTCCCTCTTAGTAGGTATCAAGCACTTTTTTCTGTTGATACATACTATCTGCTTGTTTTTCATGACTGCATATAGTATTCGTCTATGTAACCAATCCTTTATTGACTATCATTTTATTTCTCTTTTTACCACTACAAAGCTGCACTAAAACGTCTTTGTAATGTATACATATGCACTTCTACAAGTACATGAAATTTCTAGGTCAAAGGTTTTGTGCATTTAACATTTTGAAATGTTCTTTCCAAATGACATTAGGAAGACTAGTATTTTATATTCTAACTCAGTAATCTTCAAACTGGAGTATGTGAAGACTTTCCAAAGGGTATGCGACGATGAATAACACTTAAGGGAATGAATTTTCAAATCTCTAATTTCCTTTTCCCTACATTGATCTGAGACTGTCTCTGATGGAGATGAAGGCTCCTCCTTTCCCACCAGCCTGTTCATATCATCCTTCTGTTGCTTTACAGAACAAAGGTATACCTGTCATCTTCCCTGAATAGCACCAAATGATACTACGGTGCTTTACTCTGGCATATAAAAATCTCTGAGATGCCAAAGGGAAAATCTGATCTATCGGAAGTGAATTGAGAAAGTGAATGACTAATGACTGGATAATAAATTCTTACCAAGTCATGTTGTGAATTCTTTGCTTTCAATAATATTTAAGGGTCTAACTTAGTTGTCAGCTGATAAGTCATTAAAAATAGTATTTGACTCTAGATTGTTATGTAATTTATGGTACACAACACAAAAGAATTTCAAGACATTTAATGACAGTCCTGGAATTATACTCTTTTCATTTTACCACACTTATATAAACAAACCTTTTGAGTGCTTACATTCATAAAAATGCAGAAGAGTAAACAATAGTAAGTACAATCTCATTTTATCAGTATTACCAATTGCAGTTAAATTAGTTGTAATTGTTAGAAGAATGGACTCTGGAATGGTTTGAAGCTGAGCTTTGCTATTACCTATGTTTAACCTTGAAAAAATTACTTAGTCTTTCTGGACTTCCATTTTCGTTTCTGCAAAAAGACAGTAGTACTACCTACACTTCATGGGGCTGTTGGGACGACCAAATGAATCAATATATGTAAACTGTTTATATAGTGCCTAGAACCAAGTTAAGTGCTACCTAAGTTTTGCTAATAATAAAAGGTGTGTTTTCAGTAAGTTTGTTTTTATATTTAATAGTTATGTAACATCTGGTAATATATTTTTTTATTTTGATCATGTAATAATAATTTAGTACACATATATTTTGTGACATTTAGATACTTAAGATCATAAAGAAAATGGATTTTTAAAATTAAACACTTATTTTTGCAAAGAAGAATGACAGGGTGATTTTAGAATAAAATAATCCAAATATAAAATATATTCTATTAGGATTAAATTATGTGAGGGAGAAAAAGTAAGAGTGTGGGAGCAATGAGAAAATCGATGATGTAAATTTCTGACTGTTAAAGGTTGTATGCATTTTGAAGCTGATAGTTATAATAGGTTTCCAATTATGGTATTTAGAATTTATTGGATATGTTTATAAGAGTTATGTAACACTTTTTTTAGAGTGTCAATATTTAGAGTGCTAAAAATTGCACCCTATTTAATCCTATGAAAATTTTAATAACTTAAAAATGTGCAAGGTGGAGTACAGTTTTACAAAATTCTTTTGGAGGGGTATGAAGACCACTGCTTCAACAAACCACTGAGTGTCCATTTTCTTCTACTCTTGTCTATGGAGAGTTTAGACTATTTTCATAGTGTCCCAGTGGCTAGATTGAGAATATTCACTAGCTGCTGGAAAGGTCTTAAATCTCTATTTGAGTTTGCTAGGGCTTTACATGCTTAAGGAAACCTTTCCAGTATTTACTAGAGAGCACCTTTACCACTTATAAGTTTTAGAAGCTTACTACATGACATTTACAAATGTGGGCTGCCCAAAATGTTGTGCTGCATGAAAAGAGAAGGTACAAAGGAATCACTTTTTTGTCGGTACCTTTCCCTGAGACTATGAATGAGGCTATATCTTTTCCTCTGACAGGATGCTAGGCAGAGCTCGCACCCTAGATGGGATATCTAGATCAGAGCTTTTGTCCCACGTTTCTCGTAGTGGAAAGGGAAAGTTGACAAGATGCAAGAAGGGGACTCAGCCTGTGAAGCGCAGATCAGAGTGTTTAGCTTCTCAACTACAGTCCTTCCCAGCTGCTGATTTATGCAACTGATCTGAAGCAGGAATTCTTCCCTTGTTTTGTTTTCTTCTGCTGTGGAGAATAAAGTCTTGACCATAGTTTCAAAGTTAACACGTGGGAGGAAAGACCATGTATCACCATCATCACCATCTGCACCGATGATCCTATTAATGTACGTAATTGTGAATTTCTTTCAGTTCTCTAATTCAGTAGAGAAAATATTAAGAATACAGTCTATAATGTAATTTTATTTTGACTTTCTTCTCATGTTTTTTTTTTCCTTCTATTGAGAGGTTTATATCTGGCCAATATAAAATTTTACATGTTTTTATGCGCCAGTATCTTTTACTTGTATGAAATCATTTAACAAAAACTCAAACTTAAGGAATTTGTGAAATGATATACATTGAATTAATGTACATCCATTCACAAAATGTGTATATTTTATGTTACCATTCATCCCTAGGCTGCTCACCTATAGGCAGTGACTCCTTTGATTTCTCTAGCTCTTTTCAAATTTACCTACTGTAGGTCTCATTCTGCAGGTATTTGTAGGTAGTTCACTGGAAAGAATTCATTTAAGGTAAAGCATTCATTACTGATAAAGTGAGTGTATTATAATTCTATTTATTTTTAATTTACAAAAATTCCTTAAAATTAACAGAAGTAACTCTAATGGGGAAATATAAAGCATCAAGTTAAGGTTAACTGGGAGTGAGGGGACAGAAGGGAATGTATATGTGTGACTAGTCCCAGAGACCTCAAATTATACTTTATAGGGAATTATCTATTCTGATTATTAAAATACTTATAAAATTTATTTTTTAATTGCGCTTAGGGGCAATTTTTTTCCTAACAGAATATGCTGGCACACACTTCTACCAATGAATTAGGAATCCTTTAATTAAGAAATCACAAACTGAACTGAAAAACTTGTTAAAATAAAATAAATAAATGCAAGTAACACTTACTCTTGCAGAGGAGAACATATATAGCCACAAGCATGGTTATAACCACGGACATAATTTGAAGATGGAGGATATGCTGGAAAATCCACACTGTTAGCTAAGTGATTAAAAAAAAAAAGTTTTAATGAAGCCTGTTCCACAAAGATGAAAAGTTTTATTTCAAGTAGCATATTTTTAAAATTGTATGCGATAGCATTTAATTTAGTTATTTTCAGCACTGATATTAATTTTATATGTGTGTATGTTTGTACACATTCATATGTACACAGATCAAAATTGTGAATATGCCAGTATGAGCACTATTGTCCTCTCAAATTTTCTCCTGTTAGTATCTCTAAAGATGCTATTACCCTTTACATAAAACAAAAAGTATCATTTAATTACTTTCTGAGATTTGAAGCAAAAGAAGAAATCACAAAGGAAAAGACTATTCTGTTAGGATAGTGGGTTTGTAGTTCTTTTTTAGTTAATAGTTACCTATTTATTTATTATTTAGGGTTAGATCCTTTTAAATCTACTTATTTTTTAAGTTTTTATTTGAATTCCAGTTGCTTAACATACAGTGGAATATTAGTTTCAGGTGTAGAATAAGTGATTCAACATTTATATACAACATGTTAATCATTTTTTAAATAAAATATTTGATATGGTTATTTGGTCTATTAACAAAGATAGTTTAAATGCTCTTTTCTGCTGGGGCACCTGGGTGGTTCAGTCGGATAAGTATCAGACTGTTGGTTTCGGCTCAGGTCCTGATCTCAAGGTGCTGGGATCCAGCCTGGGTCAGGCTCCATGCCCAGTGTGGAGCTGGCTTGGGATTATCTCTGCAGGCTTCCCCCTGCACTCACTCACTCTTCTTCTAAAGTAAATAAATATATCTTTTAAAAAATGCTCTTTCTGCCAATTCCCTGTAGCTAATTCAAAGTATAATTAAAAGTCAGTAGAGTATGTTTTAGCAATTATGTAGCATAATTATATTGTATGTAAATGTAAAAGGGAGCTGATTTGATTATGATTAAGTTTGTGATAATTATATAGACACTTTCTAAAAATATTTTTAAAAATATATTTGTGGGACAGCCCAGGTGGCTCAGCAGTTTAGCACCACCTACAGCCCAGGGCCTGACCCCGGGGGTCCTGAGATCGAGTCCCGCATCAGGCTCCCTGCATGGAGCCTGCTTCTCCCTCTGCCTGTGTCTCTGCCTCTTTCTCTCTCTGTGTCTCTCATGAATAAATAAATAAAATCTTTAAAAAAATAAATATATATATATATATATATATATATATTTGTTTTTTCTGTGCAACTGATTCCTGCTCTTGTCAGAAAAGATCGATTTTCCTGTATGATTTTAACATAAGCAGTCAATTCTATGGGAAATGCAATGTCCAACACTGGCTTAGGAACAGCTTAAGAGACAAATGTGGCTGAATGCATTTTCCATATTCATGACCTGTTCATCACCTTATCAGAGCCTGTTGTGTTGGCATAAAGGTACGGCCAGAGGTGATATTAGTATTTTGTCTCTGTTTATAATATGGAGATTATCCTTGTCTTTCTTTAAAACTTTTTTTGTTATATCACAAACTAGTATGGGTCTTTTGTGAGGCATGTGGGATGACAGCACAGATTCTGAAAGTCAGAAGACTTGAGTTTTAATTCTGGTTCAGGTGCTTATTAGCCATATTAACTGTATCACTTAGTTTCCTCACTGGTGAAATAATGCACACAAAATATTTAGCTTAAAACAAGCTGCACAATAAGTTAAATAACAAATGGAACATTAAGAAAACCTAGTATTCATCAAAAATTCATTTAAGAAAACTGCTTAAAGCAGATTTAGTATCGATCACCAGATGATTGAGTACTACTACTATTTGTTGATTGTAACTTCCATAATTCTTTTTTACCTTCCCTCTGATCGCTAAAAAGATTAAAATGGTCTGCTTCAAAATATAGAAAACAACAGATCTAGAATGCAGACACTCAGTATTTTGTGCTGGAGGCAGTGAATAAAATTTATGTGCTCTCATTTAAGAAGGAGACAGCTCAGTGACAACTGTATGAACCTACAAGAGACAGCTACAGGGAAGGGACGAATCTCAGGCCTTAGCGGCACGCTGCAATACACTATGTTTGAGTGAGGGCTGTTAGCGGGACGATGACGCGTCTGGACTCTGAGCCTTAGAGTCCTACAGACGTAGCAGAGCAACGGAAACCGTGCTGGAAAATAATTAACAGCACTTAACTGTCCTATCCCCAAGAAGTTTACAATAGGGAAAGCTATTCAGATAGGAATGGTGAGATTAAATTGAAATCTGGAGAAAAACGGCTCTAGGCCACTGTCCTACCAAAGTCCCTTCACCAGAAGTGCCTTCATCTATGTGAGTCCAAAGATCTTTGTGGTATGAACTGGTATGTTTCAAGTGAATGAAGCAAGTTAGGAAATGATCACCTGTTTGCATTTTATAGAGTGACACATTTTTGGGAGGGCTAAGGATATAACAAAACCTCCAATTTCTGAAAGAAATATAAGGGAGAGCCCGGGTGACTCAGCGGTTTAGCGCCACCTTCAGCCCAGGTTGTGATCCTGGGAGACCAGGGATTGAGTCCCACATCGGGCTCCCTGCATGGAGCCTGCTTCTCCCTCTGCCTGTGTCTCTGCCTCTCTCTATCTCTCCCTCTCTCTCATTAATAAAATCTTTAAAAAAATAAATATAAACACATTTATGTAAAGACTTGTCTAAAGAAAATTTCTTCAGGAATTTTATCTTACTGGATATGCCCATTCTACACAATTCAAGTATAATATTATGTATCCAAAGATTAACTTTGTGTCTACATTAACTATATATCATATACATATAAGATGTATATGCTGTGAAGTTTTAGTTTATAAGCACCCATCTATACCTAGTCCTGCATGCTATAAGTTGCAAGAAGGCCAAGAGATACCATAATTATTTACTGATGTTAATGGCACCTCCGGAGTTGGGTAAAATGTCAGGCTTCCTTGTCTATACTATACATATATTTACTGGTCTCACTAAGTAAAAAAAAAAAAAATTAAAAATTAAAAATTAATTGAACACACACAGTACCTTCCAAACTGAGTTAAAGGAAAACACATTTATTAATGACTCATAAGAATTCCAAAATGTGGGCAAACTTCCAACTTACAACTGATAATATCCATATTCCCTTCACAGCGCTTGAAGTACACTAAGTCGACAAAGTCCCGGGGGGAGATTGAGCCCATGGCAAAGCTTTGTGTGATGGTATGACATATGCATGTGTCCTGCAACAAATCAAACCATAAAGATTGCAGCAGTTACTTAATATCTATTCTTTGTATCACTTCACAAAGCATTTCACTGAGTACGGTTAGCTACTTTTTGGAAAAAGCAGGGCTTTGAAATCATAAGAGCTTATCAAATCAGCTTGCATTTTCACTGTTAGAGGAACACTGTATCTATAAGTGCAAGGTAACAAAAGCAAAAGTGAACAAGTGGGACTACATCAAACTAAAAAGCTCTGTGCAGCAAAGGAAACTATAAATAAAAAGGCCATGCTACAAGGGGAGAAAGTCATTTGCAAATCATGTACCTGGTAAAGCATTAATGTAAGTGCAGAAAATTCAGAATGGAATCTTGTTATCATCTACTCTTTAAATTTTTATTTATTTTTTTAAAGATTTTTTTTTTTAAATTTTTTCATGAAAGAGAGAGAGAGAGAGAGAGAGAGAGAGAGAGAGAGAGAGAGAGGGAGGGAGAGGCAGAGACACAGGCAGAGGGAGAAGCAGGCTCCACACAGGGAGCCCAACGTGGAACTCGATCCCGAGTCTCCAGGACCACACCCTGGACCTAAGGTGGCGCTAAATCGCTGAGCCACCCGGGCTGCCCTACCCTTTAAATTTTTAGATGAAGAAATTGAAGCCTAACAGATTAAGTCACATGCAAAACTGGAGATAAGGACAGAACTAAATCCTATGTTCCTGATTCCCAGGACAGAACTATTCTGCCCAGTCCACACCGGCCAGGTAATATATTCTAAAGAATATATTGGTTTAGCACCCATGGGGTAAGGCCTAAAATTAAAGACTGGTGTTCTGTGCTGCCTGGACATCTGCTGAAATCAGGAGAGTCTTGACTGGCCCAGCTGCAAGTTACTCTCCCCATCTGTCCTCCAGGTGAGGGCCCTAAGCCAAACTGCACTCCTGAGCAGCAGGATCAGGCCACTTCCCCTGTGCCCCGCTGGGCTGCAAAACTATTCCAACAACCAAGCACAGCCTCCTGTAGGAGTCAGGTCAGGCCAACCTCTGGGTACTACAAAGTCGGTCTTGCCCAACCCATGACTATCCACTCCGGGCCTGGGTGCAACTCCCAGGCCACACCGCGTGACCTGGAACGCTGAGCCTGCATGCTACCCCTCGGCACTGCTGCCCCAGCATCCGCTTTGGGGCCACTCATGGGGAGCTAAGCATGTGCCTTAGAAGTCGCCACCGAGTCATAAGCGAGGGTCAGCTCCCGAGGGAACCTCCCCGCCTCTGGCCTTCCCCTCAGGGCTCCCTGACGGTGGCGCCTGCACTTTACAGAATGACCCGCCCTCCTAGTTGGGATCCGGCCTGACCCAGGATTCCCAGAGCGCTGCACCTGCAGGCATGGACCACGGCCCGGACTCCGGCTCCCGTGCCCCCCCGGGGCTCCTGGAAGCAGGCTGTGACGCCTTCCGGGACTGGTGACCAATGCACTTCTCTGTTTCAATTTCTCCCGTGGTCTTTGGTTGAAACGTGGCTCACCATCCGGCACCGCGTGCTCCGCTTCACAAAGGCCGATGTAAGTCGAAGGGCTGTCTCCTGGGCTATGACGATGATTACCGAACTGCTGACCTCTCTTGCCTAGTGTCAGACGTCCTATGTTTGATCACCCCCATAACCCCAGAGCAGGAATCCCTCCCGCCCTCATTTTTTTTTTTTTTAGATTTTATTTATTTATTCATGAGAGAGAGAGAGACAGAGACACAGGCAGAGGGAGAAGCAGGCTCCACGCAGGGAGCCCGACGCGGGACTCGATCCCGGGTACCCAGGATCAGGCCCTAGGCTGAAAGCAGCGCTAAACCGCTGAGCCACCCGGGCTGCCCCCTTCCCTCCCTCATTAGTGGGGATAAATGAGTCAGTAATAAACATGCCCAGAGATGCATATTATGAAATTCATAGGAAGGTAAAAGAATTCTTAGGCTGCAATGCTACTCAGAGGTAATGTAGTATATTGGGAAAGGCACAGAATTTGGAATCAGGAGATCAAGCATGAAGTCATGGCTCTACCACATATTGGCTGTAGTGACCTTGGGCAAATCACATAATTTCTCTGAATCTGTTAAGGTTTTTTGATGCCAAATCTAGTATTCTTTCCATTATTAAAGTTGACTTGCAGCAAAGCAGACATGTATGAAGTATGAATGGAACTGTGTAATTAGTATCACAGAGTCATGAGGGGAACAGTCCAGTGTTTGAATTTCATTCATGATGGACTATGTTTCTCAAACTGGAAGTTTAAATCCCAGGAGGGTAATGGACAGGTGTTTCTTGTGCATAGGAACTTCAGGACCGCTCTACAAAATGGAATATTTACCTTCCTGGGCTTTTCCACAACCTCTCCTCACTCCCAAGCTTTAAAATCAATTTAGGGGCAGCCTGGGGTGGCCCAGGAGTTTAGCGCCTCCTTCAGCCCAGGGCGCGATCCTGGAGTCCCGGGATGGAGTCCCACATCGGGCTCCCTGCATGGAGCCTGCTTTTCCCTCTGCCTGTGTCTCTGCCTCTCTCTCTCTCTCTGTATCCTCATGAATAAATAAAATCTTTAAAATAAATAAATAAAATAAATTTAATAAAAGGAGGTAAAGATAACCTACAGAGTTCTAACTAAATGATAATGTGATGGCAGATATGTGGGACATTGTTTTCACGTGTGGAATGTGGCTTGGAGACACAAAGAACCAAAGACCCAGTGACCTGAAATTTTACAAATGCAACTGTTTGTGAAAATCATAAAGGTTTGCTATATGACTCAATTTTTAAAAACAGTTTATTGAGGGATCTTTGAGTTGCTCAGCGGTTAAGCATCTGCCTTTGGCTCAGGACATGAACCTGGAGTCCCGGGATCAAGTCCCACATTGGGCTCCCTGCTTCTCCCTCCGCCTGTGTCTCTGCCTCTCTCTGTGTGTCTCTCATGAATAAATAAAATCTTTAAAAAAAAATTACATGCTGTTTGCTCTTGAGTCTTTACAGTATGTGTCTGTGTTGTTCTTGTTATCTAATGTATTATAACCAAGATAAATCTACTGACTTCCCATCAAAGAAGGCATGCTTAATCTTTTTCTTCCACCTAATGGGGGAGGTGAATACAATAACTCCCTTCAAGACTAAAGACACATCTGCAAGAGCTGGCTAGATTCAGAATGTGCTAAGCCTTTACAACAGAATCAGGCTAATTGGCATTAAACTTTTTATTAATAATGAGGGAAGTTTTAAGACTTTTATAAAGATTTCAATTTGAGTCTATAAAATATGAAGTGTCTACATCATATAAGTTAATATACTCAAATCACTAATAAAACTAAAATACATTGATACAGCAAGAGTCCAATATCAAACAATAAATTACCGAATCAATCCTGTGTACCATATTGTACACTTTTAATGCTTTATCCCATGTAATTCTGTTTTCAGGTTTGTAGAGGAAATCAGATAGGTTAGTTGTCGATTCTGGAATCACTCCTTCAACACGATATCTATAGTTAAAATAGAGAAAAATTCAAAATTTAACATGTTTAGCCTAAGCTCAAAATACAATGCTATCATAGTATAAAGTAGGCTAATTTAGCAAATAACAGGAAAAACACTTGTAGGTAGTATCAGCAATTCAAAACACTAATATTCAATTGCAATTAGCCAGGTTTATTTAAATAAGCATTAAATAATATAAGTTATTTCAAAATGTATTTTTCTACAAATCTATAGTGTTTTATAGTTGTCTTTTTAGAAGGGCTACTACCTTCTTCTAGAGATTTTCTAAAATCTTTTTCATAAATATTTATTTACCTGTGGTATTTATCATAAGCCAAATGCAACTGATGAGACGTTTGTATGGTTACACATACAGCATCTTGTAGCCCCAAATCTTTCATTTTTTAAAAGATTTTATTTATTTACTCATAAGAGACACACACACACACAGAGAAAGGCAGAGACACAGGCAGAGGGAGAAGCAGGCTTCTTGCAGGGAGCCCGATGTGGGACCCCAGGATCACACCCTGAGCTGAAGGCAGATGCTCAACTGCTGAGCCACTCAGGTAACCCTTGTAGCCCCAATTCTTAATTTAAGGATGTGATGTGGTCTAAAGCAGTAGTCAGCAATTTTTTCACACCAGATAGTATATAATTTAGGCTTTGCAGGTGACTATCATCTATGTTGCAACTATTAACTTTGCAGTAAAGCAGCCATAGACAATATACGAGGAATGGGCATGTCTGTATTACAACTTAACCTTATTCATAAACCATGACTTTTGAATTTCATTTATTTTTCACATGTCAGGATTTGGGCAACTAACTGACCTTTGTGTTTGTCCATTACTGATATTAGGTGTGAGAAAACTGGATTTAGGGGCACCTGGATGGCTCAGCAGTTGAGCATATGCCTTTGGGTCTGGCGTGATCCCGGAGTCCCAGGATCAAGTCCCACATCGGGCTCCCCTCAGGAAGCCTGCTTCTTCCTCTGCCTGTGTCTCTGCGTCTCTGCCTCTCTGTGTCTCTCATGAATAAATAAAATTTAAAAAAAAAATCCAAAACTGATTTGGTCAGTAATCTATTATCCAGGCCAGTATTTCAGAAGCATATTCCTGGTCAAAAACATTTGGAAAAGTTTGACTTAACATTAGGTTTTTTTTTACTCTAGGATTTCTCAGACCTTAGAGGGAATTTCTGCAAGAGAATACAGTCTGGAGTATTTTGAAAAACTTATCTGAGGGGCACCTGTTTGGCTCAGTCGGGTAAGCAACTATTGATTTCAGCTCAGGTCATGATCTCAGGGTGCTGGGATGGAGCCCTGTATCAGCTCCCTACTCAGCGGGGAGTCTACTTCTCCCTTTCTCTCTCCCTCTGCCTCTCCCCCTGCTTATACTCATGCACGTTCTCTTTCTCTCTTTCAAATAAGTAAAATCTTAAAAAGAAAAGAAAAACTTATTTGATAATGCAACCCATTTCCCACCTCAAGGCATTTTGAGGGATTACATTTCTCCCAGATACTACTTTGCCAATTAGCACTGGACCATGCTATATATTCCCAAAGCCTGTAATGCTTACACTCTGTTGCACATTCTAATTCATATGCAGATATTTCTCATATTTACAATTTAAATAAAATGTGAAGCTTTCTTTGATGTACTGGAAAAGTTTTAAGCTTCCCTAGATTTTCCCCATGATTTGATTGCAACCTCACTTTCCTCTCACTCCAGGCCAGGGGAAGTAAACTTTTGACTGATGCAGACCAACCTGACCAACATGTTCAGACTAACTTCCTTTGTAGGAACCTCAATATCTGCCACAGGGAATACAGAATAATAGAGGTATTTTGAAAGATATAAAGTGCTCCAGTCATACTCTCCTTGCATTAGCAAACATGGCAAATTTAGAAGCATCAGAGTTGTGCTTGAGAAAACAAGCATGCAAAATTGAATTTTATTACCTTTTACCAACCTTAATTTTAAACCTGTGTTTGATATTTACTGGACTACAGCACAACTATAAAAAAGAACTAGGGCAGCCCGGGTGGCTTGGTGGTTTAGCGCCGCCTTCAGCCCAGGGCCTGATCCTGGACTCCAGGGATCGAGTCCCACATTGGGCTCCCTGCATGGAGCCTGCTTCTCCCTCTGCCTGTGTCTCTGCCTCTCTTTCTGTGTGTGTCTCTCATGAATAAATAAAATCTTAAAAAAAACAAAAACAAACTAAAAGACAGTTTTCCAAAACCAGTGTGTGACAGGTAGTCTCTACCATGGGTCCCAGTGATCCCCACTTCCTGGTACTCACACTTGTGGATTCCCCTTCCCGTGAGTCAGGGCTGGATCTACTGATTCACTTCTAATAAACTGAATATTCCAAAAGTTATGGGAGGTCACTTCCAGGATTAGGTTGCAGAAAGGTTTTGGCTTCTGACTGGTTTGCTCCTTCTCTTGTTCTCTCCCAGAACCTCACTGTGAGGTATGCAAACTGTCATGTTGTGAGTAGCCCTATGGAGCAGTCCATATGTCAAGGAGCTGAGGAAGGCTTCCAGCCAACAACCATGTATGTGAGCCTGGAAGCAGAGCTGCCTTTAGCTGAGACCAAAGCCTCAGTTGACACCTTGATCGCAGCCTGGTAAGAATCTTTGAGACAGAGGCACCAGGCTAAGCAACATCTGGGTTCCTGACCCACAGATTCCATAGGATAATAAATGTTAAGTCCCTAAGCCATGGGGTAAGATATTTTTGTACATTAATAAATAACTACTATATAGTAAATATAAATTTCCCACTTAAAATGTGAGTGCAGAAAGTTCTAATTTTTGTTTAGTTTTGCATGCAGGAGTATAATGCCTCTGATAAAAAAAAATCTCAATAAAGCTTTAAAACAGCCCAATTGGGGCTATTCCCTGAATGGCTCTAGGCATGGCATAGCACCTTGCATACAAATATCCAAGTATTACTGAATGAATAAATAACTTCCAAAGTTTCCTTGATGCATAGGTTGCTGTCTATACTTGTCTGATCTGTAAGCACCAAAAAGCTTATCCAAGAGCTTATTCCTCTAGTATGACTGGGCTTGACTTTATCCACTCCCCTTCTTAGTCAATATTTGAAAGTGCTGCTATTAGAGTCATTAATTATTTATATAATGAAGGCAGGGATCATCTTCCTGATAATTATTAAAATGAATAGGATAAAGCATGCCAGTTTTACCTTATAGTAGAAAACTGGATTGAGACAAAAGGTAAGTAAATTCTAGTTAAATGATAAAAGAGCAAGAAATACAAAATGAAGTAGATGAGAGAGTAGACTCCAAAAAAATTGAATGTGATTTCGATAACATGATAATCTGTTTGCATTAATATGATATCATGGGCAATGAAAGAACAACTCTTAAGAATAAGGTTAAGAACGTCAGCACAATTACCCTCAGTGTAGTTGTATTTGAAAAAACAGGATCCTCAGAAATATCCTTAGAGGCAGCTTTCAGAAAACATTATATATATATCAGCAAGAGAAATAAATTGGGGGAAATAAACTATTTTTTTAGTGGTTCATTTAATGGAAAGGCTAAGTGTTTGAAAGGCCACAAAATATTAGTGTTATCAAGAAATACCCATTTGCTTTTATAGTAATTATCTCTTGAGGTAGTAATTGTTTCTTTCTTGAAAGATTTTTTTCCTAATTGTCTTCAAGTTTGAAAATGATTAATTGCATAATAAATAAAAATAAAATTTTTATTTTTAAAATAATTTAATTAATTATTTAATTAATGATTATTAATTTATTATCACTATATCACTAATTTATTAATATCACATTTCAACCCAGTGACTTTATAAGACTTTATAATTAATTTCTATTTCCTGATTACTATCAAGCAATGTTATAGCTAATGAAGCAGCACTGAATTCTATATACATCAATGCCACTGAATTCAAACAACTATAAAAAGGAACTTGTACTCACAGATTTCCATGGAATTTTTTAGAAGCCTTGCTGGAAACAGTTATCTTTTTCTCAAAGGGGAATAAAAATCCAGAAATAAATTAGCTGTCAGATATGGAGAAAAGTGAAAAGTAAAAACAAACAAACAAAAAGTAAAAATGTATTATTTGGTTCGTAAAAGAAAGTATCTTTAAAAGTCTTAATGAATCACTTCTCATTAAGAAATAAACTCTTGAAACACATTTAACTTTTTTTCTTACTGAAGTCTTAACCACTTTCCAGCCTGTTGTGTCTTGATTGTACCCTAAAATTTCTAGTGCAGTTTCTTGGGCAAGTGCCTTATAGTCCATTTACCTGCAAAGTTGTAAAAACAGACAACTGGTAAGAATATAATCATACAAAACAATTTTAAAATGCTGTATTACATTTTAAGACTATTTCTACAGTCTCTCACAGAGTAACGAACAATAATTTTTTATTAAGTTTTTACTTAATAATTGCTAAGTGTGTACATGCATGAATTCCTTCTTCCTTATCTTTCAAACAAGAAAATGTGGTATAGTATGAAGAGCAGGCTTTGGACTCAAAGAGACCCGGGTTGAATCCTGTCTGCCACTAATTGTGAACCACATTATTTAATATTTCCATTTTCCCATTTTCTGAGATACTAGCTAACTCTGCAAAATTAATGAGATAATGCACTTTAATGTCCTATCCCATTACCTGGCATGTAATAGCCATTCAATAAATCATTAATATTTCTAAGAGCTTAATCATATTTTATTTCTCTTGTAAAACATCATAATCTGTTGATCCAGTGTTCCTGGGACTAAGTCTTTTTTAAGTGACGGCAGTGGCACTAAAGAATCTGACCCTTGGCTTCCTCTCCAAAGGCAACTCTTACCTGTCTTCTCTTCCACTCAGCTCCAATCATATTGACTTGGCTGTTCCTCAAATACAACTAAGCATCTTCCTACCTCAGGATCTTTGTACTTGCTGTTCCCTCTGCTTGTAATATTCTTCCCAAATGAATGACAGACTCCTCTTCATTGGTGACTTTGTTGAAACATTGCCTCTTCAGACAGGATCAAGGTCAAATCAATTCAATATGAACATATTTACTGAACCCCTTACTAGGGATTAGGTACTATGGAGGTGTGGCAAACGCAACTGAGCAAGATACTATTTCTGTTCTGAATGAGTTCAGGAAACTGAAGTCTCATTGGTCCTTTGGCTCATTATCTAGTTTTCCCTTAGAGGAAGCTGGCTTATGGGGGAAGGAATGTGACAAAAGATGGCTGGATTCAAATCCTAACTTTGCTGCTCATCATCAACTAAATTATTTTGAATAAATTGTTTAACCTTTGAATAGATTGGGGACAGTAATATCCATCTCATGGGGTCATTATAAAGATGAATTAATATATGCAAAAGTGACTGAAACCGTGGGACCCCTTCTTGATCAGAAACATTAGTTTCTTTGCTCAAAATGACACACTTAAATCTATCTTTTAAAAAAAATTCTCCAAAGAGGGCAGCCCGGGTGGCTCAGCAGTTTAGCACCTTCAGCCCAGGATGTGATTGATCCTGGATTCCCGGGATTGAGTCCCCGGTTAGGCTCCCTGCATGGAGCCTGCTTCTTGTGTCTCTGCCTCTCCATCTGTGTCTCTCATGAATAAATAAATAAAATCTTTTTAAAAAATTCCCCAAAGAGCTGCCTCAATAAACCTCCTTAAAGTTCAATTATCAGAACTATGTCTTAACTGGCTCTCACTTAAAGCCCTAGGTTGGCTCCTAAACCCGCTTTCTCTTGTTTAGTCCTCCAGCAAGGCATAACGCCTAGTTGACATCTCTATTTGAAAAGCTTTACTAAACCATTACAACTCCTTTTAACCCAGTCGACTTTTGGTTTCTTTACCTTTCCTAATCGATCTAGTCCAGAATTTTAATAATTATTGGGACTCTTCTCCAAATCCTTGTGGAGCTCTCCATCTCTCTTAACCTGTGAAGGAACAGAGTAGAATTATTTTGATCCCGTGAATTAGGTCAGCATATTTGATCATTGCCCTTCCAATTTTCTCAGCGTCCTTTACTTTCACTTCAGGTCCTCATTAGGAAACACTTGCTATACTCGCCCGTGAGGAGAGAAAAAGGCAATAAGAGAAATGTTTATGAAAAGGACCTTTAAGAAATTATCTTATTTTTTTTTAAATTTTTTTTTCAATTTATTTATTTATGATAGTCACAGAGAGAGAGAGAGAGAGAGAGGCAGAGACACAGGCAGAGGGAGAAGCAGGCTCCATGCACCAGGAGCCCGATATGGGATTCGATCCCGGGTCTCCAGGATCGCGCCCTGGGCCAAAGGCAGGCGCCAAACCGCTGCGCCACTCAGGGATCCCAAGAAATTATCTTAAAAGAAATAAAAAAAGAAGGACGGGTTAAGAAGGCATTCAGGTGGAACGGAAATAAAGATGTGTGGGAAGCCTGGGTGGCTCAACCGGTGAGCATCTGCCTTGGCCCAGGGAGTCATCCCAAGGTCCTGGGGTAGAGTCTCGCATCTGGGTCCCTCCAGCCAGCCTGCTTCTCCCTCTGCCTGTGACTCTGTGTCTCTCATTTATAAATATATAAAATGTTCAAAAAACAAACAAACAAATAAATAAATATGCCTAACTTTTTAAGCTCATGCCATTACGAGTCCCTGACCAGTCCCTGGCCTGTGCTCTCCCGGCGTGTTCGACACGGTGCTCTATTTCCCACCAGCGGCCTACCTGAGATTAGCTGTTGTAGAAAAGGCACCAATTACCGGAACCGCTGTTGGCTCTAGAGGGTCGAGTCCTGCGGGCCTGGCACTCACCTCCAAACAACAATAAGCGCGGTGAATTGAACCGGTTCATTGCACCTCGCAGCTTGTGGACTTTCTCGGTCGCTGAGAAGCGAGGAGAGGATGGGTCTGGGGGTCGCGCAAGGGGCCCCGACGGCGGGGTTACCTGGTGGTGGGGCCTCGGAGCAGCGGGTCACACTCGGCGGGAGAGACGGGCAAGGTCGCCTTCGCCCCTAAGGTCGGCGGCACAGAAAGCGAGCCCGGCGCCGCGACGGCATCCTCCCCTGGCACCAGCACCCGGCGAGGCTGCGTTCTTCGCCCCCCGTGTCCCCGTGCACGCGGGCTGCGGCCGGGTCTGCGCGCCTGCTCCTAGAGCGTCCCTTCCTCTGCGCTGCCCGGCGGGGCCCGGCCATCCCGCCCCGGGAACCGAGGCCCCCAGGACTGTTAGCGCCCCGCGCGCCTGCTGCGGGTGGGGCCGGCGGCCAGCCCCGGGGGCCGCGCTCGGGGCCGGGGCCGGAACGGCGACCGCCCGCGCCCAGGGTCCCGGGAGCCCGCGCACCGCGGAGGCCGGCGGGCAGCGCAGCCCCGAGACCAGGGGCCGGAGCCTCGCCCTCGCCCCGCCCTCGCCCCGCCCTCGCCCCGCCCTCGCCCCGCCCTCGCCCCGCCCACCGAGCTCCACGCATGCGCGCCGCGAGCCAGCGGCGTGTTGGCTCCGTTTGAACGCGAGCGCGGGCGTCGCTCCGCTGTGACGGCGGCGCCGGCTGCGAGCGCGGGGCTCCCGGGGTGCCGCGGCGGCGGGGGCGGCGGGGGGTCGTCGCGTGCGCAGTCCGGGGGCAGGCGCGGGCTGCGGTGGGAGTCGCGGGCCGGTGCGCTTTTATGCGCTGTGGAGACGGAAAACGGTGAGCTCGGCGCGGGAGCGGGGGGGCTCAGGTTTGGAGTTTCCGTCAGGACGGCGGGGGCGGGGGGCGAAGCCGGAGGAGGCCGCGAGGGCCATCCCGGGGGGGGCGGGGGTGCCCTCGGTGACGGAGGCCGCGGGGGGGCGGGGGGGCTCTTTCCGGCTTGGTCAGCCGCGGCCTCTTGCTGTGGGAAAGCAGATGTCGGGCCGCGACACGTACCCGCGCAGCTGCCGTTCAGTCCCCGCGGGCTCCGCCCGCTCCTCTGGCGCCGAACGTTCTGTTTTTGGTCAAAGGTAAGTGCAATTTTTTTTTCTTTTTTTCTCTCCGTTTAACATTTTATTCTTCCGGAGTGATGGATTTCCTTCTGGAGACGCGAACGGACGTGTTTGCGGAAGAAACGGTAACGACGTTGGCGTTGCCTCCGCAGGGTCCCGCGGCGGAAGCGGGGGGCGGGGGAAGACCTGGGGCCCGCTGGCGATTGTCCAAGGGGCGATGATGCGCGCAGGGGGTTGGGTTTTTTTTTTTTTTCTTTTACGATTTTATTTATTCATTCATGAGAGATACACAGAGAGGCAGAGGGAGAAGCAGGCTCCACGCAGGGGGCCCGACGACCCGGGGTCACGCCCTGGGCCCCCCAGGCGCCCGCACAGGGTTTCCTTAGACTAGTCATTGTACTTCGGTCTATTTGGAAGCTTTCAACAGCAACAGAAAAATCCAATTGCGGATTTCCGTTTTTTGCCTCCTGTGAACGAAAATACATGTCCTCAGCCTCTTGCTAAGATCCGGAATCCAACAGTTTTATCTTTCAGAGGTTTGTTTCTGTTTTTGGAATGACATTGGTGGCCTGTGCCGTGTTGGAATAAGGGAAAAAAATGTTTGGTCAACCAGTATTTACTCGAGAAAATCTAAACGGCGTTAGGGAGAGGGGTCACGAAAGGGCAGGGCTGACTGTCTCGCCGTCCTTTAGAGGGAGCGCCACCTCAGGGCGTCGGGGGAAGTCAGGCGGGTGAGCGCTACCTTCTGGGCTGCTGCTGCTGCTGTCACCTGTCCTGCAAGGGCAGGTGCGTGCTCTGAGGCTAAGGCAGGACGAGGTTTTACTCCGTTTTCAAGTGGAAAACTTTCAGTATTTTGGCATCAAACTTAATAGTCACTAAGATTACATTAAACGTTGTTATGACTTAAACATTCCCAAAATTTTATAGTCCAAAGGTAAACGTATTACCTTTATAACATTATAGGATGTACTAAGTCCTAGACGTCAGTTTTTATTAGTACAGAAGATCCATTTCCACTGATTTGTTTTTTTTCAAAGTACTGAAGTAGTGCCTGTTCATTCTGTCATTTTTTTAGCTTTTCAAACATAGAGCCTATTACCATATTAAGGTAGACAGGAATTCTCTCAATTTTAGTAATGGAAAATAGTAAGATGAATATGTTGTCAATTTCCAAACTATCTATGTCTCTTTTAAAAGAGAGGTAGGGTGAATCTAACATAAGTGAAAAAATAGTAAGGGCATTGCCATCAATGAAGGTGAGAAAATGATTTAACAGTGTTGTTTTGGGGAAAGAGCATGTTGCTGGCTCAATAAACTTGGTAGTTTGTCTCTTTATAATAAGTACTGTAAATTATCTTGTTGTCAAGTTTTCCCTGGGTGGATGGAGGAAGGGTTGGCTAAAGTTACATATTGGCATTTACAGCATTGAAGGTAGATATTCTTCTGTGTTGTTTCCAACACCTCGTTTGATGGCTTTAAAAATTTATTGAGCACCTGCTATCTGTAATGCATGATGGTAGGCTTATGAATTGAAAAATATTCTGTATAGGAGAATGTTAGGTATTGTGATGTCATAGAATCTGTCCCCATAAGAAAAGACTGTACATCAGTAGATTTTAGGACTTAAAAATGATTACTCTTCCCTTGGTACTATTCTCAGATAATTATGTATATAAAATTCCAGGCACATAACAGGTACTCAATAACTATTTCTATTTCTAAATCAGTGATGAAGGAATTCGTAATAATTAAATAATAGAAAATCTATAATGCACATTTCCTAAAAAGAATAATAGAAATGAATTTTATTCTTTTTTTTGAATTTTATTCTTTAAAGTATATTATAAAAGGTTTGCATATTTAGTAATTTCTCTTTATAAGACTATTACTCCTTTTAATGGAATCTTAACCTTTTGTTTTTCTGTTACAGTTTTTTTTTTCCTGTTACAGTTTTTAAGAGAAATGAATAGAAATGACCCATTTTGAAGAAGCCATGGCAAAATCAATTCCAAAACACAGAGTTTGTTCTCGGGAATCTTCAGTGTCTTCTCTGTTAGCAAGCTGCAGCCTGAGTGGTAGTAATTCCTCTAACTCTGATGGCTCTTTTCAGTATAAGAATAAACTGTATAGTTCTGCGTCTCAGGCTCTGCAGGCCTACATTGATGATTTTGATTCAAGCCACCAAATGTATCCTGGTGCAAGCACGGGAAAGTTTAACGCTGGTAGATGTTCTGCTCATGTGCCAGAATTCTCCACCTGTATTTATAAAGCAAACAATGGTATGCTGTTATTTGTGTGTGTGTGTGTGTGTGTGTGTGTGTGTGTGTTTTCCACTGATTTAAAGCATTTGAGGGATGTATTGTAGCCTTGAAAAACTAGATAACTTTTTTTCTTCCTTTGGGGTAAAAAAAAATAACTTTCATAATATTGAGGTCTGGATACTTTTCTTAAATGATTCTGTAATTCTCTGGTTCTCAGGAATTTTCAGCTAACATCTTCTTGTGACCTTGGAGGGGAAGCTGATGAATGTAACTGATAGTAGCAAGTGGTTGATCCTAAACCCTTAAGCCATTTTATCATAGCATAATGGAAAGAGCATTGACTTGGTGGTTCTAGGTTTCATTAACCAGCTTAGTAACTTTATACAGACCTCAGTCTTTCTGAATTCATGCTTAGTCAATCCCAGTTGACAGAATAAGACCCTGTCAGCCTTCCTGATGTGTATTCTGTGGGACAGTACTATACAGTGTTAAGAGTTTCTCCTTGATAAGGCTTTCACAGAGACCAGTTCGGAGACTATATTTGTTGATGACCTAGTTAACACTTCACTGAGTACTTATAGGATGGTCCTGGTATGGAAAAAATCTGCATTCCACTCTTAGACGTATGTGGACAGTATATTCCAGAGGAGTGTTAGAATGGCTGTTCTCTCAGTGTTAGTGCTGTTGCAGGGTTAGTAGGCAGATTATTTTTCCACCTAGTTTAATAGCATATTTTTCTCCTATGTTGCAGCCAGTGTTGAGTGACCAATATTAATGTGAATGTATTGTGCATCAGGTATGTCTGGATTTAAAAAGTTGAAGAAACAATAAAGAATACAGGAAAATTTGGAGACAAAAGTCTAGGACTTAGTTAAAACAAATTAGATGTGAGAAAAAAAAGCACATTGTATTCCATCAACCTATACCTTTTATACTTTTAATCAAAGCATTAGTGAAGATAAGGGAAAGCAGCAGAAATGATTCTTAAATTCTTCATTCTATCTGCTGTTGAATATTATTAAGTATTGTTATAGGAGTGTGATATAGGAAAATAAGCAGAAGTATGCTTTGTTTTTCAGCTTTTGAAAATCTTGATCCCAAAAAGAGCTCTTCATCCTTATTTTGTAGAAGAAAGACTATTAATGACATAGACTCCATTAGCCTAACAACTGATGATCTATTAAAACTTCCAGCAGATGGATCATTTTCTTTCACTAACATTGGATTAAGTCACCGAATTAGCAAGAAAAACAAGAAGTGCATTGGAAGACTGAGTTCATGGGATACTGAAAAGAAACAAAATTTTCAAGAACCTTCCACTCCTTTGTGCAAGGATAACATAATTACTCCTGTTATATATACAAATATAAATGGAAAGCATCGTGGTAGGCTAAAAAACCCAAAACTTGTGAATAAGACTAATAAATGCATTTCAGAACCATCTTTATCATTTTCCAAGAAATTGTCTTTCAAGGACAGTTCAGAACACAATTGTGAAAAGAATTACCCAAGATGGCTCACTAGCCAGAAATCTGACCTTAATGTTTCAGGAATAACTAGTCTACCTGACTTCACATACCCAGTCTGGCTCCATCATCAAGACTTGCTACCTGATACAAAGAGTCAAAGGATTTCTAAAATATTTAAAGAAGAACAGTGTTCCCCTAGGCATAGTTACCAGGCACAAAGAACTTCTCGACTTATGAATAAATTAGATTGTTTTGAATACTCTTTTGAACCCTCAAACATTTCAGATTCCTTGAGTGATGATAAAGGATTAATTAATGAATGTAAATGTGATTCTGAACATAGCCAATGTCAGTGTGAGAATCCAGTTCTCCCAGGACCAACCAAAAAGCCCTTCAGTGGTAATTGTTTTGTTTTTAAGAACCAAACTGCTGTAAATTTGACTTCATGTCTAGGAGATGCTTTTTTTTTTTTTTTTTAAGATTTGATTTATTTGATAGCACAAACGGGGAGCAGCAGGAAGAGGGAGAGGGAGAAGCAGGCTTCCTGCTGAGCTGAGCAGAGAGCCTAACACTGGGCTCAGTCCCAGGATGCTGGGATCATGACTTGAGCCAAAGGCAGAACTTAACCAACTTAGTCACCCAGGTGCCCCTCATCTAGGAGCTTTTATTTTATATTCTTGATATAGTGATCAGATGATAAATCTTTTGAACACTTACAGTCTTCATTTATGTAGCATTTTGTGCCTAGGAAATGTCTTTTCTCCCCCTTCTTTGAAATGTTCTAAAAAAGTTGTTACAGTTATGTATGTATTCCAAATTATCTTAATTCTTATTTGTTGCCTTGAGATTTTGCTGTGCTTTGCATTTATTTTTTTTTCTTAATTCAATCGTTTACATTAGGTGACAAGATTGAATTGCTTATCCTGAAGGCCAAGAGAAATCTAGAGCATTGTACTGAAGAGTTACCGAAGTCTACAAAAAAGGATGATAGTCCTTGTTCATTAGATAAACTTGAAGCAGAAAGATCATGGGAAAATATTCCTGTTACTTTGTACGTAAGTTACAGTGGAAAAACTCTTAGTTTTCCAAATGAAAAATGTCACGTGAACAGTTGATTTATTTTTTAAGTAACTCAATGATAATTAACAATGATAATGACATGTTAATTGTACAGAACATTGCTTTTTGTTTCTTTAAATTGCATTTTTCAGTTGTTACCACAAGGTGGTGTAGTGTTTCATAACCTTAGGCACATTGTATAACCTTTGTCTTTTTTTTTTTTTTACGTTTCTTGTGTTGAATTGTAAAATATTGATTTATGTTTAATACGAGGAATCATAGCCAAAACCAACTATTTTGCAGATTGAGGAGTGTGTGAAATTCTTGTTATTTTCTTTTTACTGTAAGTTTTTTCTCCCTCTATATTCCCTCCATATATAGAGCTATGCAGTTATCCATTTCTTTACATTTTACTTTCCCTTAGTTGTTATTTTCCTTAAATGGTGTGTTTTTTTGGTGTGGTATAAATTTTTGTAGTTTCTAAGATTGTTTTCGTTTGTGTGTTTAGCCTTTCTGTGATACAGTTTCCAAGAATAATTTAAACACTGTTTACCTAAATACCTTTGAATATGAGTGTGGAGTAAGAATTGAGCTTAGGTAGGAAAGCTTTTTTTCTTAGTGATATTATTACATCTGAACTCATCAGCAGTGCGTTCTTATAGGTGACCCTATATCCTGCCTTAGGCTCAGGTAATTTCTGATCTTCTGTTGGCTAAACTTTGGTTCTCTTGTAGTCTGTTATAGACAGAATCTGTCAATTTCTGGATTCATTTTTTTTAAAATATTTTATTTATTCATGAGAGAGACAGAGAGAGAAAGGCAGAGACACAGACAGAGGGAGAAGCAGGCTATGTAAGAAGCCTGATGTGGGACTCAATCCAGGGACTCCAGGATCACGCCCTGGGCCAAAGGCAGGCACTAACCACTGAGCCAGCCAGGGATCCCCTCTGGATCCATTTTTGATCACTTCTCAGTTGAACATCTTATTTTTCTGAATGTGGACGCTGACTATAGTTCTGGTTTAGAGTCCCAGCTCCATGAGTTCTTTGCTGACACCTTATACAAGTTACACTTCTGCTGTTTTACAAATTACTACTGTTTTGTACAAATTCTACTTTGTACAAGTTACTTCTACCTTGTATAAGACCTTATAATAAGTTACTTTGGGTTACTTTGAGGATTTGTTTGATTAGAAAATATATATAAGGTACTTAGGACAATTTTTGACTTATGATGAGCTCTCGTAATTATTAACAGTGGTGATGATTATCCAGAATATTTTTTTCTATATTTAGCTTCATTTTTCAATTGTTGGTTTGATAGTATCTTTATTCACTTAATTCTTTTTTTTTTTTTTTGTATTCACTTTAATTCTTAAATTCAGTTTAATTCTTAAACTTTTTTTCTAATTTCTTATTTTCTGGTCAGTTGGTCTTTGTAAGGTACCGTAACTGTAATGCTTTGCTTTCACTTGCAACCAAAATGAGTGAGCAAGTAGTATAAGAAGTGTTTAAGAGTAAAATTTTTGAATGCATCTAGTGTGTTATGTAATTAGATATATAATTTACGCTTGTATAATTATTATCACAATCATTGGTTTGGCCCAGGACCTTGTATATAGAAGTTGACGTCTGGAAGATTGAATTCATATTGTGGTGGATATGTTTACATAAAATGAATGATAGATTGTGAGAAAAAGGAATAGATCTGACAAGTTCTGTGTGATGTTGACAACTTATTGATAATCTATCATCAAAACAGAAATTGACTAGGAAGTACTCAAGGTAGTATACTAGAAGGTAGAACACAATCAGATAATTACTTTTTTTTGTTTGACATTTTTATAATGGAAGATTTCAAAGAAATACAAAAGTAGAAGAATAGTATAATGAATCCCCTTGTACCCCACACTCCTCTTCAGTAATCCAGTAAATGCTTTTTGATGGTAGCGGATGGATGTGCAAACTCCTTTGGTAAAGAATGGGCGAAAAGACTACTTGGGAGCAAGAAAAGCTCATAGTAAGTTACAAATCAAATGAGTCAATAATGAACTAGTGTTAATAAGAAAAATTCAGAATTGTGACATTTAAATGTTATAGAAAGATTCTTCGATATCTGAGTAACTTGGGTTAGAAATACATTTTATGTTGATATATAAATAAGAGAATGAATTTGTGTGTTCTCTGTGACTAATAGAATTCGTTCGGGGAAAATTCTGACTTTTGCTGGGTTTGCCCTTTGTTCTGCTATCCCTTGAAACATCAAGAACTAATATTTGTTGAGTATCTATTATATGTTCCAGGTACATAGAGTTAATTTATATAGTACTTCTGCGAGATAAGTGGGACCACAAATGTAAAACCGAAATTTAGATAAATAAGTTACATATAGTCACATAGTGCATGGGATTGGGATTTGAACTCAGGAATTTCAATTTGAAAATCGATCTTTTTCCCCACTGTAATCTATCATCTATGTTAATACCAGTTCTGAAGGGCAAGTCCTATTGCTTTGACATGGAAGAGCACGTAACTGCCATTCCAATAGAAACTCCTATATTTGTGGGGGGTTTTATTATAAATGGGTAACTGTGTTAATTTGGAAAAATGTACTGCTTATTTAAAACAAGCTTTCGGAGTGTACCCTATAGTTGAAGGCTTATTTGTTTCATTTAAGACTGATGTTTTTACTTTATTCACAGTTTTTTCTTAAAGCTTTAAAGGAGAAACAAGGAGATAGGGTTAGATTCTGGTATCAGTTTAGGGAGAAGATGAATTACCAAGCAAAATCAATATGAATCATATCTATAATGATTGTTTCTTGGTGACTGTGTTTAAATGATAAGCATTCAATTATACACTAATTTTTACAAATTGGGAACTTGATTACTATCTTGTATCCTTAAATCCAACTTAGCAAGTCTCCTGTTCCTGTTAACTCTGATGATAGTCCTCAACAAACTTCACAAGCAAAGTGTGCTAACGGGTTCCTTGAAGATTTTTTAAATAATGATAATCAGGTGGGTGAAGTTAAATCTTTTAAACTTATTAAAAGGGAATTTTTTTAACTTCTTAAAAAAGATTTATGACTAATATACAGATTTCAATTTCTCAGATGTTGAAACAAAAAAAATGATTCAAATTCCCTTTTGGGGCAGCCTGGGTGGCTTAGCGATTTAGCATCTGCTTTCAGTCCAGGGCCTGATTCTGGAGACTCGGGATCGAGTCCCACATCGGGCTCTCTGTGTGGAGCCTGCTTCTCCCTCTGCCTATGTCTCTGCCTTTCTTTCTCTCTGTGTCTCTCATGAATAAATAAATAAAATCTTTAAAACAAACAAACACAAATTCCCTTTTGTTCAACACAATTGCATAAAACCATTGCTCCTAGAATTATTGATGATTTTGTTTTAAGTATTCTTAGAGGGACCTGGGATTGAACTCTACAGAGAGCTTAAATTATCATGGTTTTTTTGTTTTGTTTTTTGGGGTAGTCTACAAAGCATATCATTATAGAGTATGTTATATTTTCCCATACAATGGTTGATTATTGAGAGTTGTACTTCTAACTTTAGAAAATTATAAATTTCTATAATTTAAAATTGAAAAATTATTATCCAGTTTTGCAAAATCAGCATATGTGCTTGCAGTAACCCTAAAGTATAAGTGTTTATATGTGCATATAAGAAATTATATATCATTTAATATAGAAATATAGCCATAGCTGTTAAATACTAGATCATTCTTTTGGGGTCTTAAAATGTGGAAGATTTGAGAGGTTGAGCACTCAGAAATTAGCTGCAAAATTTAATAAAATAAATTCCTCCTGTGAAATTTACTAGAGAAAGTAGTGGCTGTCAGAATGTTTGACCTTAAAACTTTGTGTAAGGTACTATTACAGATATTGGGTAAAGCTTAATTATCAAATATTTCTTCGGCAAATATTTGAGTACTAAACACTTTTTATAAGAACTGTATTTCTACTAGTAAATAAGAGGGAGGAAATCCTTGGATTTTTTATTCCAATTAGACAAGGTAAAAAAAATAATATGTGATATATAAGGGAGTACTGCAAGTGTGAAGAAAAATTAGTTGGGATAGAAAAATGAGATATAATTTTAGTTAGGGTAGTCAGGAATGACCTATCTAATGAGGTGATATTTGAGCAAAAACCTAAAATGAGTGAATAAGCCAAATATACATGGGGAAATAACTTTACATTTAGAGGTAATAGTGCAGAAACCCCAAGGCAGAATTACATTTGGCACGTTCAAAGGAATGTAGGGTAGCTCAATCAGAATGAACAAGGGAAAGGATGATAAGAGGTAAGATGGAGAGGTAACCAGGAACCAGATCGATCATGTAGGGTCTTAAAAGTGATAGAATGAAGATTTTATGTTTTATTTAGGTGAGATGAGAAGCCACTGGAGGGTTTTGAGTGGAAGAATGAAACAATCAGATCTACATTTTAAACTATAAAATGACAGCTATATGGAGCATAGACTTAGAACTGGTGAATGAGCAAGGAACCCAGTTAAGAAACTTTTGTCATCTTTCTGGATAGGATTGGCTTAGGGTGGGTACATTGGAGGTAGTCAGAAACGAGTAGACTTGGCATGTATTTTGAAGGTAGACTTAGGATGGAGATAGAATTCAAAGAATGAATCCGAGATGCTTGAGTCAAGGAGCTAAAAGATTGGGTGGTGGCATTTAATTAAAGAAAACTGGTAGAGGAACAAATTTGGGGAAGTTCTTTTAAGTTTGAGATGGATGAGTGTAAAAGATTAACCAACTGGTCCCTTTTCCCCTGCCAAGATATACATAATTTCATTACCAGGGTGTTTTTGTTTTGTTTTGTTTTTAATTATTTTTAAAGATGTGTAGAAAGTTCTTGTCACCTTTTTTCAGATTCCCTAATATTATCATATACCATAGTATAATGACCAGAAACAAGGATTAACATAGGTACAATTCTGCTACCTTACACTAATTTGACTAGTTTTTCTACCAATGTCCTGTTCCAAGATCCAACATTGTGTTTAGTTTCATGTCTCTTTAATCTACTTCAGTCTGTGACAATTCTTCAGTCTTTCCTTATCTGTATAAGAGTACTGGTCAGTTGGTTTTGTATAGTTCCTTAATTTGGGTTTTCTCATGATTAGAATGAGGTTATGCTTTTGACAAGAATGCAACAGAGATCATGCTCTGCCCTTTTCAGTTCCTCATAACCAAAGGTTCACGATATATTGATATCATTTGATTTATTGTATGTGTCTTAGTCGGGCTACTGTATAAAATACACTATATTTATACTGTAATAAATATGCAACAGACCTGGTTGCTTAAACAACAGACATTTATCTCTCACAGTTCTGGAGGCTGAGGAGTCCAAGATCAAGGTGTCTGGTGAGGTCCTGCTTTCTAGTTTGCAGATGGCCATCTTCTCCATATGATCTCTCATGGCAGAGAACAGAGAGGAAGCAAGCTCTCCTGTGTCTCTTATGAGGCATACTCCATATGCCTGTAAGAAACAAATTTACTACCTACATCACATTATTTATATATAGTTCTTTTGATCTTGGCCTCAAAATATCCAAAGTACTGCTTTCAAAAGTTACTTTGGTTAATTATTTTCTTCCCAACTCCTTCAGTTGTGGTTGTGGTCCTGTTGTTCAATTTTAATACTGTCAGGTGGTTCACTTTTATGGTATATATTGGGTTTAAACCACATTCTTTTTGGTTTATATTATTTGCTTTTTTAATATGTGAAACATTACTGTAGTTCTGAGATAGCTATACAAAAAGATATACTCCAAGACATTCACTACCGGGTTTCAGTGACGAGTCTCAGGACAAATTCTATCAGACATTCAGACATACCAACATTTATTAAAAGTTCATTAGTGAATGGCCCAGACAGTTCATATAATCTGTTTTTTTAGTTTTATTTTTTGGAACTCTGATCACTAGTATGCATGAAAAATTCACTCCTGGGTGGCTCAGCGGTTGAGCATCTGCCTTTGATTCAGTGTGATCCTGGGATCCAGGATTGGGCCCCACATCGGGCTTCCTGCATGGATGGAGCCTGCTTCTCCCTCTGTCTATGTCTCTGCCTCTCATCTGTGTTTCTCATGAATAAATAAATAAATCTTTAAAAAAAAAAAAAAGGAAAGAAAAATTCACTCCAGAGGCAGGCTTTTGTAGCCCTTATGGTTGGCATCAGGCGACTAGAAATTCTTCTAAGTCAGTGGCTGGATGGAGGTAATTTAGAGATAATGCTTCAGGTGCTGTCTGCAAGGGTTAGAGTCAGGAGTATAAAGCTAATTGGATCTTTTTTTTTTTTTTAATGTATTTATTTTTATTTGGTTGGGGGAGGATGGGGCGGAGGGAGAGGGAAAGAAGAGAATCCCAAGCAGACTTCCCAACTCGGAGCTTGATCCTACAACCCAGAGGTCATGACCTGAGCCAAAACCAAGAGTCAGAGGGTCAACCAACTGAGCCACCCAGGTGCCTGAGGCTAATTGGATCCTTAAGCCTTGTTATTTTTCTTTATTTTACAAAATTTGGTGAAATATATACAACGTAATACTTATTTTAACCATTTTTAAATATACAGTTCTGTGCAGTAAGTACCTTCACATCCTTCACATTGTTGTACAGCCATCACCACTATCTATTTCTAGAACGTTTTCATGTTCCCCCAACTGAAACTACCTATTCAGTACTAACACGCCATTCCTGTTCTGCCCAGGGTCTGGTTAGCACCATTCTGTTTTCTGTCTCTGAATTTGACTACTCTAGAAATCTTATGTGTTTTAGTCTACTATGTTAAAAAACATACCATAGGCTCGGTGGCTTAAACAATAGAAATTTATTTCTCATGATTCTGAAGGCTGAGGAATATAAGATCAGGTACTGGCTGGTTCTGTTCCTGGTGAAGGCTCTCTTTCTTGCTTATAGATAGCTGCCTTCTCACAGTGTCCTCAAATGGTCTTTTGAGTTCTCCAGAGTCTCTTATCAGAAGGACACTAATCCTGTGGTGTTAGGGCCCCACCCACATGACCTCAGTTAACCTTAGTTACCTCACAGTCCTTTCTCCAAATAGAGCTGCTTTTGAGGTTAGGGCTTCAACATGAATTTTTTATGGTGGTTAGGAGCACAGTTCAATCTATAGTATCATACAGGAAGAATCTTGCAATATTTTTCCTTTTGTGACTGGCTTATTTTGCTTTGCCTGATGTCTTGAAGTTCCATCCATGTCGTATCATATGTCAAAATTTCCTTCCTTTCTTAGACTGAATAAACACTTCATTGTTTGTACCATGTTTTGTTTACCCATTCATCTGTGATGGATACTTGGGCTGGTTCTGCCTTTTGGCTATTGTGAATAATACTATTATAAATATGAGTGTACAATAATCTTTTTGAGTCTCTGTTTTTACTTCTTCTAGGTATATAACCAGAAGGGGATCATGTGGTAATTCTGTTTAAGTTTTTGAGGAATTGCCATACTATTTTCCATAGCTGCTGCACCATTTTACATTTCTACATCCCATTTCTTATACTCTATTCATGTAACTGTGGAGAGTGTGCTTAACTTTGAATCTCTTCACCATGAGAGCCTATTTCTAATATTTTTTTGTGCTTGTTAACAGCTTAAAGTTTAAATACTATGTATATTATATTGTCTATGCTGAAATCTGTTGTGTGGCTTGTTTGCCACTATGTGGATAGTTATCAGGATACAGCACTCATTTGGAAGATGTAAAAATAATAGGTTGGTAAGAAGACTTTAGAAAATAAGTTTAAAAATATCCCTTATAGATTCTCTTATGTAATGCTGTTGCCCTTCTTGGACACAGGTAAGATCAGTGATAATTAAGGTATGAGTATTTTTTAGGTAGCAAGGAATGTGTGGCCAATGAATAGGTGAAAAAGTAGCATTCTCTGTGAAAACATACTGCATTTAGAGAATGCTATATTTGAAATTCTAGTCATTGTTCAGCTGATAACCAGCTTTGTTTACATACCCAAAAAGAAAATGTCAGCTTACCTGAGCTCTGAGGACTTTTTAGCTCTAAAAATCTATGATTTTAAATGTCTAAGTGAATGCATCGCAAATGTGAAGATGTACTGTACTGTTCATTGAAAAGAGCGGAGACCAGGGCAGCCCGGGTGACTCCGTGGTTTAGCGCCGCCTTCAGCCCGGGGCCTGATCCTGGGGTTCCGGGATCAAGTCCCGCGTCAGGCTCCCTGCATGAAACCTGCTTCTCTCTCTGCCCCCCCCCCTTCTCTCTCTGTGTCTCTCATTAATAAATAAAATTTAAAAATACTGTAAGGTTATTACCCTTTAATATATATATGTGTGTGTGTGTGTGTGTAACTTTTTCCTCCGTGAATTGCTTGGTTAATGATTCATCTGTTTTAACCTCAGAGTTGTACCCTTTCTGGAGGGAAACATCATGGTCCTGTTGAAGCCCTAAAACAAATGTTATTTAATCTTCAAGCAGTACAAGAAAGTTTTAATCAGAATAAAACAGCAGAACTGAGAGAAGAGATTAAGCAAGTAAGTACAAACTTGATTTATGAATTGAAGTCTGTGAATGTGACTTGAGATCTATGTAGATATAAGGTTTCTTCCTAGATCTTTTTCGGCTTGACTTTTAGTTTTATGTTAATAAGCATGCCACATAACATATTGTAGACTTGTGCTATTATTTCTGCAGTTGTGTGTATCCCTGAATGGATTGTTCTATTTGGTTTATGGTTGTAAATACAACATCTTATGTAGATACAATAGTGTTACAACTGTAATATGAAAGAATTGTAGGTGTTGTTTTTTAATGCCCTACAAAATTATCTGTATAAATCGGACTTTTTGCATTTTTGTTTGGAGATGCCTAGAAAACCTTTTCAACCTTAGACTTCTCCACATAACCTTTGTCTTCTTGAAATTTCGTTTTGCTACTTAGTTTGGTACTTAGAGTTGATGGAAAATTTTATTTTAAAACCACTGGGGGAACACCCGGGTGGCTCAGTGGTTGAGCATCTGCCTCTGGCTCAGGGCATGTCCCTGGAGCCCCAGGATCGAGCCCTGCATCGGGCTCCCTGGAGGGAGCCTGCTTCTCCCTCTGCCTGTGTCTCTGCCTCTCTCTCTCTGTGTCTGTCAGGAATAAATAAATAAAATCTTTTTAAATAAATAAAAATTTTAAAAAATTTAAAAACATTGGTTTTTTTTTGTGTATTTCCTAGGAAGTTAGAAATCGCATTGTGCATCGGGCTGCTGTTCTGTAGGGATTGAATTTTCTTCATAATAGTATAGTGTTTACAGAGAATTTATATTCTCCCAAATCTGATTGTGAATTTTAATTCTGCTACTTAATTAGCAAGTACAGTATTTGTACAAATCACTTAACCTCTTGAGTTTCAGATTCCTCTTCTGTAAAATGAGGTTGAGAAGATAAATATAGATAAACTATATGAAGTACTATCATAGTACTTGGCACCATATAAAAACTTAATAGCTGGTAAATAATAAATATTTTTATTGTCATTATTTGGTTACTCTTATTCAGTAGAGCTTTATGAAATTCAGTTTTAATTACCAATAAATGGATCAGCTCTTGGGAACTGTCACACTCTGAATTTTATTTCTCTCTTTTTTTTTTTTTTTTAGATTTTATTTATTTATTCATAGACACAGAGAGAGAGAGGCAGAGACACAGAGAGAGGGAGAAGCAGGCTCCATGCAGGGAGCCTGATGGTGGGACTTGATCCCGGGTCTCCAGGATCATACCCCAGGCTACAGGCGGCGCCAAACCGCTGTGCCACAGGGGCTACCCCTGAATTTTATTTCTTAATTTTTGTCTATACATTTTAATTATTATATTAACATACAGAGTGTATCCCATCCTTTTTTAGACCTTGTTGAGACATAATCATCTTCTTACAGTTATAATTTCAAGTCAAGGTTTTATTTATATTGGACATATATTTAGAAGCATATGTGAAAGATGAATCTAGGGACGCCTGAGTAGCCTAGCAGTTGAGCATCTGCCTTTGGCTCAGGGCGTGATCCCCGGTCCAGGGATCAAGTACTGCATCGACTTCCCTGCAGGGAGTCTGCTTCTCCCTTTGGCTATGTCTCTGCCTGTCTTTGTGTGTCTCTCATAAATAAATAAATAAAATTAAAAAAAAAAAAAGATGAACTTAAGCAGTAGTTAGATTTTTAGAATAAAGAGAAATATATTTTTTTAAAAGACTTTATTTATTTGAGAGAGTTAACAGAGCATAAGCCAAGGAGGTGAGCCAGGAGCCTGATGTATGGGTTAGTCCCAGGACCGTGGGATTATGACCTGAGCCAAAAGCAAATGTTTAACCAACTGAGCCACCCAGGCACCCCTAGAATAAAAAAATATTTAATACTTTACTGAAAATTATTTGCTAGACTTACTTCCTTGGAAATGCAATGTTTTTTATTCTTATTCACATATTAAATAGGATTTTAATTTTATAGTTATTTAATACTTTCAATATCTTGTTATATTTGGTGCTTTGAATAATAGGTTTCAGAAGACAATTTCTCTAAATTGCAGTTGAAGGAAAATATGGTTCCTATTACTAGGTCACTTCAAAAGTAAGTATTCTCTACTAATTTCTGAATATGTATGGATACAAATCCATTTTAGCCATTCTTTTGAAATCAGAAGATTATAGGAGGAATTAAGTAGTTCTAAGAATAGATATACTTGGTATATTTAAGCTTCATGGAACATATTGTTTAATCCTGAAGTTTTCTGTTGTACTATTTCCTATTAAAATGTTCTTAGGACCTAATGAGATAACCTTAGACACCTAAGTATAATGGATGTGAGTGGCTTAAAAGAGTTCTCTTCTCATTTCTGACTAAATTTGAGATAGTATTGGTATAGATATCATGGAAGAACAACTTGTTCATGAAATACATTTTTATGTATTTCCTAGAATAAATATAGTAATCATAAATGTGTCATTATTTGACATATCTCCACAGAAACCTCAGGTGGACATAATGTTCTGGATATAAAGATAGGTCTAAATACTGTAAGGGTATTGATCAACCTTTTTCCTTAGTTGCATTATCTTAAGTAAAAATATGGAGACTAATATTTATGTTTCCTATGGTCATGGTGTTGGCAGAGGAAATGGTCTTTATTTATGGGTTTGGTTGTATGAATATGCATGTACCTTCGGAAGATGGAATACTGAACTTTAAGACATGCTAAGATTGAAATTTTTTACTTTAGTAACATGAATGTGTTACTAAATATGCAGTACCCTCGGAAGATGGAATACTGAACTTTAAGACATGCTAAGATTGAAATTTTTTACTTTAGTAACATCATTTCACTTGGCTATAAGTGGGGCTACACAAATATTGTCTACCTTTTGTCCTTTCAGAATTTGCTGAGGATTTTGGTTTTCTCAGGAAGTGGTGGAAAAGTGAAACACTAGACATGTAAACTTAGGACTCTAATTGCCATGATATGTATGCGTATGTGTGTGTATACACACATGCACACACATATTTTTTTGTTTCCATAGCTTAAAAATATATGTATGTATGATTTTTCCCCCTCTACTTATAATTTTCTGGCTAGAAGTAATACCTCTTTCTTTATAGCTTGCCATAGTACTTGGATATAGTGTTCCTATCTAGGAGTCAGTGAATAATGATAATAACTAACATTTATTGAACACTTACCAGATGTCAGTGTTCTTAGTGCTTTTGAATGTAATTCATGTGATCTTTACAACTCTATGAAGTTAAGTACTATTATTATTTTTTAATTAGGTAATAAAGATGAAGTATCAAAGTACCTTGTCCATGGTCACATAGCTGGTAAGAGTAGAGGTAGGATTCAGATCAGATAGATAGTCTGATTTTAAAGCCTGTGTTCCTAACACTCTTCACATTAATGGTAGTGGTGCATTATCTATTTAGACTGATGCAAGGGCCTCAATTGATTATCTAGGATAAAGACTTCATTCTGCTTTGAAATTTAAAGTAGATGACCTCAAGCTTTTCATGTATCTTAAAAGCATTTTTTATTAAAAAAAAAATTTTTTTTAAAGATTTTATCTACTTATTTGAGAGAGATTACAAGAGAGCACAAGCAGTGGGGGAGGAGGGTTAGAGGGGGGAAAGAGAAGCAGATTCCCTGCTGAATAGGGAGCCCAGTGCCAGGCTTGATCCTGGGACCCTGGGATCATGACCTAAGCTGAAGGCAGGTGGTTAACCAACTGAGCCACCCAGGTGCCCCTCTTAAGAACATTTATATTGAATGTGGGTCACAGACTTAAATGTAGTTTTCTATGTTAAAGTATGTAGCCTGAAGATGTTTTTCTTGGTGAAGATGAATACTGCATCATAAGTAATTAAATGAGCACAAAAATTGATACTAATTGTAGGTGCTTTTACTAATACCTAGAAATTTTTTTTAGTAGTACCAGCTTTTTTCTAGCTTAGATAATAATCTTGCTTACATATAGAATGCAATTTTCAGAGAGAGTAAGATTTATGTTTTGTTAGATGGCTTTTAGCTGTTGATTCTGTTGGATTAGCTGGGACAATCTTAATTTGGCTTTTACTTACATTTCAGAAGTATTATCAGTAAGACATTTGTACTGTTAGGAAGTAAGTTTAAACTTTTAGAAGTATGTAAGTATATGTTTTCATTGTTTATAACAGATATTTTTTATTTTTTTATTTTTATATTTTTAAGATTTTATTTATTTATTCATGAGAGATACAGAGAGAGAGAGAGGAACAGACACAGGCAGAGGGAGAAGCAGGCTCCATGCAGGGAGCCCGACCTGGGAGTGGGACTTGATCCCAGGTCTCCAGGACCACACCCCGGGCTGAAGGTGGCGCTAAACCACTGAGCCACCTGGGCTGCCCATAATCTGTAGATTTTAAGGACAATTTGAAATTCAAATTGTTCTGGTTAGGTTTATGGTCTTTTCATAATTCAAAATAAACATTTTCTTCAAAGGTTGCAGATTGGGCAGCCCGGGTGGCTCAGCAGTTTAGCACCACCTTCAGCCCAGGGCCTAATCCTGGAGACCTGGGATCAAGTCCCATGTTGGGCTCCCCACATGGAGCCTGCTTGTCTCTCTGCCTGTGTGTCTGCCTCTCTGTGTCTCTCATGAATAAGTAAATCTTAAAAAAAAAAAAAAAAAGTTGCAGATTGTATTTTGGGTGGTTTAATGACTTTTCCTAGGATGAAAGTCCTATTATATCTTCCCCACCTCTCAAATAACAATTTTTGTTTTTAACAGTTTGATTGCTAACCAGTTTTAAAATATCTTTCATTAGCCTTAGTAAATGCCAAGCTCTTACAGTATGGGTTCTATTTACTCTGTTTGCCACTCAGTTTTCTTGTGTTCTTCCATTAGAATTACCACTTTCACTGGACCTGAACCTGAAGTGTAAATGATTGAGTAGCTTAAAATGTGGGGTTTTTTTTCCAGAGGGATTTTGCTTTTAGTAGGAATCTAAGTTGTAATTGTTTTGTATCCCTAGAATTCTTAGCTTTTCTTATGCATTTACATATTAGTAACTCAATAAAAACTTACTAACTGAAACCTCCATAAGAATAATTTGCCGGGCAGCCCTGGTGGCGCAGCGGTTTGGCGCTACCTGCAGCCTGGGGTGTGATCCTGGTAGACTTGGGATCGGGTCCCGCATCGGGCTCCCTGCATGGAGCCTGCTTCTCCCTCTGCCTCTCTCTCTCTCTGTCTCTATGAATAAATAAATAAAATCTTTAAAAAAAAAAAAAAAGAATAATTTGCCATCTTAGCAAATGAAAAAATTGTAGTTTTTGAGCAGGGGCTTTTTTAGAATCTTATCTGTCATGTAAGCCACCAGCCACTCTACCCAGGCTTTGAAGAATGAGCAATAGTATATTGCTCATATACTATAAAGGTGAGCAGCAGGAGATGATTGCAAAATCATCAATCATCCAAAAATAATTTGTATTGGCTTTGGAACATATTGGAATTATAATTTGGAAATGAATGTGTAAGATTTTATAGTTCTTAGTATTAAAGGCCATGCTGTGCAGACTTAATGATAGCTGGAAAGTTGTCCTGTTTCTCAGTTCTCTTGCTAAATTTTCTGGTCTTTGTTCTATACTAGGGGTAGAATTACCTCTCAGATTTGCAAAACATCCTAGAGCAAAGATTTTTCTTTTATTCTGATGTTCTTTACTAAAACCAAGGGAATGGTCGCAGTTTGCTGAGTTGTTGCTGGATACGAGGCTGAATATAGGCCAGTAAACAGTATTTAACAACAGCCAGTATAGCCGTACTAATAGGAGCTTTGGCACAGAATATCAGTAAGATAAAATATAGTTAAGTTGCCTTCATTTATTCAATCCTTATTGAATTTCTGTGAGTGGATTTCTATTTATTCTAATGTTCATTGATAGATACATTCTTACAATAAGATGAAGTTTTTTTTATTTTAGTTGTTAAGGTGACTTGTTCAGCGTTGTATGTAACATAACTCTTAAATTGATATTTTCCCCATTAGCTTGCTTTTTTGCTTTATAGAAAAGAAACTCAAGAATGATTTCCTTCTATAATTTTATCCTGTGCTTGTCCCTACACATAATAGCAAATCACTTTTGATAGTGTCTTCTCTAAGGAGATTGTCTTATTCTTAGCAAGCCAGATAAAGGTTAAATGAAAGGAACTGCTAGCTGATTGTGTAGCCGAGGTACAGAGACTGAAGAGTTCACATTTCTACTTAGCTTTTTTATTCATTCCCATCATACTGCACCCCTCTTTTTCCTTCCCATCGTTCTTATTTTTCCCTAATGTTGGTTTTTAAAGACATAAAATAGGACTAAAAAGGAAACCAGTTATATTGAGTTATAGTTATGAAAATATCAGAATGAATTTCTAATTAGTAATATGTGCTTCTTTGCTAATCCATTTAAATAAGACATTTGAGAGGCTCCTGGGTGACTCTGTCGGTGCGTATCTGCTTTCAGCTCAGGTCATGATCTTGGGATCCTGGGATCAAGCCCCAGAGTGAGGCTCCCTGCTCAGTGGGGAGTCTGCCTCCCTTTACCCCTCCCTCTGTTTGTGTTCTCTCTCTGAACAAATTAATAAATAAAATCTTCAAATAAATAAAAATAAGACATTTAAAAGGTAAGTTAAAATTTATTTTGTAAAAACATATTAGAATGAAGACCTCTTAGGTAACTTGAATTAAAGTGTTAAACCATCCTGTGGTCTTTTATTTACCTTTCACATACTGATCAGCAAACAGAGAAGGGGGCGAGGTATTGGAAAGCTTCAGTATCTCAGTCACGAGTGACTGCTGTTCGGTGGATGAGCAGCAAGGCTCAAAGTTGTCTAATATTGTCATATGAGTGTCATGTCATATGAACTTTTGGACTGTAGGCATTTATGTCATATGTCAGAACTTTTGGACTGTTGGCAGAAAGACTACATATGTTCTAGCATTGGGGTTAATAATTTAGTTTTCTAACTATTATATGTAACTATTGTAATTTTGAAGTGATAAATATAAAAGATATTTTGAGATCTATGCAATGACCACAATATGATTGAAAATATCTCGGATTTCTATGTCATATGAGGTCACAGATTTTGGTCTATTGCTTGCATTCATAATGGAAAGAAATGCTAATTACAGATAGCATTTAGTGAAAATAGAGATGAGGAATTTCCCCCCATCCAATTTCATAATCCCTCTAAATCCATGGATCTCTGGCCCTCAGAGTTGTAAACATTGAGATAAGACTCTAGCTGTTTGCCCCTTGCTGTTTCCTTCCTCTCTTCCCCTTGCCTCTCCTCTCCCCTCTCCCTTCTTCCCCCCCTTTTTAAGATTCACCCAGTGTGGGGCTTGAACTCACAACCCTGAAATCAAGGGTCTCATGTTCCACCGACCAAGCCAGCCATGTGCCCCTTTGTTTTGAATTCATAGGTTGCTAAATAATAAGCCTAAAAAGAAAAATATAGATCTAAGTCCAAAGTATATTCACAAATTATATTCTTTCTCATAAATGTGTCTTGAGAAAGAAAATAATTTTTTAGATAAAAAGATAGTACTATAGGATATAGAAATGATAATTTCTGATTGCATAGTAACTTTGGGTAAGTTATTGTAATCTAGTTAATGAAGATGACCATCTCAAAAATTAACTAGAGTTGCCAAAAAGGGTGGCAAAATCCAGTTTCTTAATACATTTGAGTAAAAGTGTCCAAGAAGTAGAGTACAGGGAAACAGATATAATGCAATAAATAACAGTACTAGTTTCTTGCATCTGTATATCCTGGGTAAAGTGGAAGATACATCTTATTTAAAATACATTTACCAAACCTCTCTTAGAGACTGTAGAAGAGGGTATTGTAGTTACCACCTTTTTTATTTTAATTTTTAAAGATTTTATTTATTCATGAGAGACAGAGAGGCAGAGACCTAGGCAGAGGGAGAAGCAGGCTCCATGCAGGGAGCCTGACGTGGGACTCGATCCCAGGACTCCAGGATCATGCCCTGGGCCAAAGGCAGGCGCTAAACCGCTGAGCCACCCAGGGATCCCAGCCACCTTTCAACTCAACTTAAAAATTACTAACAGATGACTGTACATCATAATTGTTAATATTATTTGTTTTTGTTGGTCTCTCATTTATCAGACATCTGAAAAATGGTTAACAGATTTTCTGATAAATCAGGTCCTTAAGGATCTGAATGAATGGTAGGAGAGAGGAAAAAGGAAGAATATTTTTAGAGGAGGACTGGAAAGCTAAGGGCCTTCACTTTTCTTGTTCTGTTTGGGGGATAATTAAGTTTTCTTCATTGAGACCTGACCTATAATCTTAGTTTTATTTTAGAGAAAAAAACCAGGTTGTTGGTATAGTACCACATAATTGTCGTTTGTTTCCCCTCATGCTCAATAAAAATGAGTTTTCCTCAATTGTAACTGATTCTTCAGTGCTTTTTTTAAATTTTAGCTATCCTGAATATACATCTTAATGAAAATACTTTGTTAAATGATATAAACAGTATTCCAAAAGAAAAAGGTATAATTTCACAGAGCTGTTGTGAAATGACATGAAAAAAATGTTAAGTGTTATACAAATAAAACCTATCATTAAACTTCTTGGCAAACTTTCAAAGAAAAACCTCTTACCTGTCAAAAGTATATTTTTTAAAGTAAATGTTTAATTAAATGAATTATTTTAGCCCTCAGTTATTCAAATCTCAAAGTTTTATAAAGAAAAATTATAAATGCTTGATACTAATTCTATAAATTCATTTCTATACTAATTTTAAACAATATAATCACCATTTGTTGCTGTCTGCATTGTCTGTTCAGTCCTTAATATTGCTTTATAACGTGTTTTATACTTTTTAATGAAGGGCTTTGCACCATTTATCTCGCCTGCGAGACCTGGTTGATGATACCAGTGGGAAACAGTCACCGAAAATGTGAAGAGGAAAATAAAACAGTCCAACCAATAAATAGTCACCACAGAACAAAGATGTATTTTTTTCCTAGTGCTTAAACTGATAAATTATAAGCCATATATTATTCTGTGATTGGTTCAAGTAGTATATATTTTTTAAAAAAACAAACTTGAAAACGTACATAGATTTTGTGACCTATCTTCATTTTATGCCAAAATACCAGAATGTGAACTGGAAGGACCCACACTGTGTCCTGCAGTCGGACTTTGGTTTTCAGGCCAGCACATATCGAATATTCAGTGATGGATGATGTCTGTTATTGAAGCGTATGTGGACTTAATCTTGAGCATCTTCATCATTTTATCATCTGGTTCTGGATTATTAAGCAACTCTTCCTGGTTTCTGTCCAAAATCTCTTAAGTAGACCTTTTTATACAATTAGCATCTACTTTTAAGTAGGTTAAAGGAGTATCAAAATTGTTATGGTGTATCTTATGCATGTGGAAGTATGTTACTCTTAATTTTTATAAATATTTAATATAGTTTTTGCAAATAAGAATGGGGTGATGCAGTGGTAAAAGATATGTTTTATGTTGTGAAATCCAAGAGAAAACCTTAATTAATGCTTTGATTTTGAATCTATGTAAGATAATTTTGATACTACTGGACAGTTTATAAAACATTTTTGGGGAGTATATTTGAGAATTTAATATTTTGATACTATATTATTTCCCACATTTTAGTTTTGGGGTTAGCTCCAAAAGTTATGAGTAAAAGTAAAAGTTATGAGATCAGTGCCTAATCTCTTTATGCAATTTTTAAAGTAAACTTAAAATGAATGTAAAATCCAAAAGCAACTGTATTACAAAGCTGTTTTGTAAGAGCTGAACTTTCTTTAAAGCAATCTGTAGTTTGTCTCTAGCTGGAACTGAGCAGAGTTCTGTAATTTTACATTTTCTACCAAGTAAACATCTAATACGAAAGCATCTTTGCCAACAAAACTAGGAATTAAATCATAACGCATGTTTAAAAAGCCCGATGAAATGAAAAAATTTGTATGTATGCATACAAACAGTACAAATTAACACTGCCCAAATTGTAGCATCTTTGCTAGGTAGCTTTACTGTCAAATAGAAATTTCTAAGTACATTGTGTTGAAGAATTTTTTTCCTCCAAATTGGAAGCATTATTTAAGACTTTTGCTATAAACTTAGATGTCAAAACTGTATAGAGTGAACTCTGTTATTTTTTTCTTGGCCAGTGAGTCAGAATTCCCACTATACAGTTGTTTTTACCCAGTTTGAGAGTGACTTGCCATTAAGTTTTGTTTACTCTGTGGAGGTATTTCTGCCACTAACATTTTATTTTCTGATTATTGCCTTCTACTTCAAAACACAGTTTGCATGTAATCGAACATGGTTACTTGGATGATGAAAGTATGGCTGGCTGTTAAAAATGCAGATTTTAAGTGGGTGAACATGAGGTGGATCTGAGTTGATCATGTTCCTTCCAGGCCTTGCTAGATCCACCGTTAGACAAATTCTGTAGAAGACAGGGAAGGTGACTACATCAGATAATTATTCTATTTGCATAGATGTTGATCAGACCTACTATTTAGTATGCCTGAAAAGCATTTCCAAAGGATTATGCTATACTGACTGTCAGGCTGTTCATGGATTTGGTTAGTGCTGTCATTTCCAAGAAAATGTCTCCAATGCTAAATAAGATAAGCCGCCTAAATTTTTATATTTATAACTAATATTCTAAGAAACTTGATTATACTTAAAGGAGTATTTTTCCTATTGTGTTAAATATGGAAGCCTAGTCATTTACCTTAAAAGGGAATTAACTTTATTAAAATGATTAATTCCATCTTTTTTAAAAAAGAAATGTATAGGAGAGTCAACTAAGAACAATCTAAATGATAAATGATCATGAAATTCTCTAAAGAATTAGTTACATGTTAAATATTTAAGTATTTTTTAGTGTGAGTTATCCAGAGGTAAAAGGGTGACAACTGTATGAGACTGCTGAGTTGTAAATTAAAAGCAGAACAATTACAAGTTTTAAAAATTGGAGTGGGAATATAAATTTTTATTAATCCATTACTTTTAGGTATATTTAAAAGTGTTAGAAAAAGAATTTTAATAAGATTTCAGATTTTTAGCTGAGTATGAAAAAAATTTAACAATCCTAATTCCAAAATTTTTTTGGGATAAAAGTGTAATAAGTCTATGAAGACTTAAAACTCAACTGTATATTATTGTCCTAGGAACTTTACTTTCAGTATTTCTGTGTTGGCACATTTCAGCTTCATATGGAGACTTCTGACCAAATAGAGGAACACTATCTTGGGTTTGTTTGGGTTATATGTCTCTCTAGTTTTGTTATTTCTTATTTAAAGTTATAAATGTGGATTTTTTTGGTATTCTGTTTAATGTTTAGAGTAACATTATATACAATTCTACAAAAATATTTTTTAAAGAAACATCATGAAAGATATTCCCCCTTAAGTTTCAAACACATGGAATCACTCATAGATTTGAATTTTTGTTTCATCCTTCCTGTTCCAAAGTTCACTGTGTCTCAAAAACTGTTTGGTGGAAGTGCTATCAAGAAGTGAACGTGCCAAAAGGCAAGTATTATGAAAAGAGATAGGCAAAAAGCCAATAAAATTGATAATTTCTGAGCAACAAGTTTCTTCAGGTGTGAAAGACTTTGTATCTTTCTATCCCATTTATTGATTGGATGTTTTATCATGATTATATGTCCTGTTGGGTTGTGATACTTAATCTTAAAATGACTGATGCAAACCTGGGCTTAAACCTGAACCATATATTGAGGTTTATATTGTTCCATCTTTCCCCCTTGATATTTGAAATTATTCCCTTCCTATTTCTCTGTATTTTTTCTTCTTATTTTCATCTGTGGCTAAGATCATCTTCCTTTTTTGAACAAAAGTTTCTTTGCTTTTTACCCTCCCAGTTTGTTCTACATTGTTTTACGCTAGACCCGACGTATGTAACAGCTTCTCTCCCAGGGTAGCAGCCTTTCTACCTGTGTAACCACTTCGTCGTCCTTCATAACCTTGACTAGAAGGAGCCTGTTGGCCTCCTCACACCTCTTTCCACCTGGAACATTCCTTCCCCTCACTCCGCCCTTGCAGTGAGGACAGGCTGGCCGGTTCGTAAGACACCGTTGCAGCACCACCGCCCTGACGTCACTAATGCATTTCAGAAATTTGCTGTGGTTCAGCTGCTTTACCCCTATCCTCCCAGACTTTCTATGTATGTTCTCACCTCTGGGCGTATTATTTCCTATACTTGAAATAGTTTTCTTTCATTCTGGTTTTGTAAAGCTTACTCCACCATTTCTTTTAAAGCTCTGACCAAATGTGCATTTTTCCCAAAATATTCTAACCTTTTTTCAGGCTTGGTACTTTGGCTTCCTTTTTCCATACCCATCACTCATTTAGCTATTATATTTGTTTTTGTATTGAAAAGTGTCTCTATCACATTGTATCCCTAGGGGAGAAAATGTCTCAAAAGTTAAAGGACTAGGGCAGCCGGGTGGCTCAGTGGTTTAGCGCAGCCTTCAGCCCAGGGCCTGACCCTGGGATCCGGGACCGAGTCCCGCATCCAGCTCCCTGCGAGGAGCCTGCTTCTCCCTCTGCCTGTGTCTCTGCCTCTCCCTCTGTGTTTTCTCATGAATAAATAAAAATCTTTAAAAAAAAAAAAAAAGATTGCTTTTTATCTCCTTTGTGATAACTTTTCTTACATTGTATAACCTGGAACGTGGAAACTTAAAATGGTGACTGATGATTTTAAGCCTAGTTCTCTCTCAGATTGTAAGCGCAAGAAAAGAAAGACCATGTTTTTTATTTATCTGATGTTCTGCAAATGCTTAAAATGGAGTAAATTAAACCTATTTTTTATGTTAATGCCACTGTTTATCAAATAGGATCAACATATGTGTAAGTGTTTTGGAAGACATAAGCCTTCTAACTACTCTTGAGCCAGCTAAGATTTGATATGTCTTGCATTTCATCAGGTATACAAGTTATTTTACAGATCTTGTACTACATCCAGGGAAACTCAGTGGCTGATTTTCACTGTGTTGCTTCTTTGAGTGTGGCTTGGTGGCTGTCAGTCTGGGTCTAGTCTAGAAACAGGACCAAATAGTGACTATAACGAAGTTTAATATAAAAAGATTTTAAGCTGATGAAATATGATCTGAGCGTGCTCTATGGTACTCCAGAGTTGGGGGAGCGTACGCAAGGGAGAGGTACTTGGGTACTTCTTGGGAGTAGGAGAGCCGAAGATTCGGGCTTCGGCCTCCCTGAAGATAGGGTAGCTGCAGCCCACTGGCTGGCCAAGTTTACTGGTTTGCATAGACCAGGGTTGGTCGTCGTCACTAGGCAAGTGGGAAGCCACCCTCCAAGGTTCAGGAAAGCCGTAGCCAGTTACTGGGTGTGTGAGCACACGGACAGGAAGGGATCTCGGTGTGGCCAAGACTCAGAACATGAGGTGTTGGGGACGCCTGGTGGCTCAGCGGTTGAGCATCTGCCTTTGGCCCAAGGCGTGACCCTGGAGACTCAGGATCGAGTCCTGCGTCTGATCGGCCTCCCCCCGCAGGGAGCCTGCTTCTCCCTCTGCCTGTGTCTCTGCCTCTGTGTGTCTCATGAGTAAAATCTCCAACGGAAACCTGAGGTGCTGGTGCTGGCAGGGTTGAAGGGTGATCACCAGCCTGGTCCAGGTCCCTGAGTGCCAAGGAGAACCCGATATGTTCTGAGCTAGTCTGAGATTGTGACTGTGGAAGAGCACCACATGTCCTCATACCCAGCTTGTCTACTGATGGCGCAGCTGCCAGCAAACAGCGGGAGAGCCCCTTAGGGATGAATTTGGAGTGGAGAGGTGGTAAATTGATAAGATTCTAGAAAGGTTCTGGTGGGAGAGGACATATGGAAAAATCTAAGATGCCCCATCTGTCCACCTCTGCTGTCCGTTTTGCGTCTTCTGTAGCCTTCGAATCAGGAACTGGGCATAAAGGTGTAAGGTGGCAGAGAGGCCAGGTCATCCAGAACACAGGCTAGATGAGAACTTGGGCCTCGGAGAGAGTCTGTTATGCCAGAGCCAGTGCAGGGGGTGGGGCGGAGCCTCAAGCAGGATCCGCGCTGAGCTTGAAGCTGACGGCCGGGTCTCCCGACCCTGAGGTCGCCACCTGAGCCCAAACCTCAGTGGGTGCTTCACCGACTGCGCTGCCTGCCCGCGAGCCCCTAAACGTCTAATGAGTTTGAGAACTTGCTAAGCTGGGTCCGAACTGGAGCTCCGGGACACCTGCAAGGATCCTGGGATTATAGGAATTCTGCTCCATCAGGTCAGAGAGGAATCCCGTATGTTCCCTCCGTTATTTTTCATCAAGGTAGCCACGTCGCTTTTGTAGGAATATCTCTGGAAACAAGTTTCCTGCAACTGGAATGCATTGTTTTATAGTATATTCTTGCTTCAATTAAAGCACTTTTTGCTGTTCTGTGTTTCTTCATATTGCTCTTAATTTTGCCCCCCAAGACAATCTCGCATGCACATTTCAGCCTTCCAAGTATTGAAATCAAGGGTAATGCTCTTTCTATCTTTCAGATTGTTTCTAATTTCTAAAATATTTCTTTGGACAAAGCTTTGTTTCTTATTGTCTCACTTTTTGGATGTTCTCTAACTTTAAATATTTTGATTAAAAGGCTACATTTACAAATGATCCAGAGCCCTACTTCATGGCGAAGCCTAGAGTAATATGCTTTACTATTTTATTTTTTAAAAACTGAGTTATAACCTCTTCATATATACATAATGATTTGATATTTGTGTATGTTTTGAAATGGTCACAATAAGTCCTAACACCCATCCACTTTTTCTTTTTCTTTTTTTATGAGTTTTAAGTTCAGTATGGTTAACGTACAGTGTTACAGTAGTTTCTGGTGTACAATATAGTGATTGAACAATTCCATCACTTGGTGCTTATCAGGACAAGTGCACCCTGTCATCCCCATCACCTATTTCACGCACCCCCCCCCCACTTCCCCTCTGAGAACCATCAGTTCTCTACAGTGAAGAGTAGAGTCTGTTTCTTGGCTTGTCTTTTTCTCACTTTGTTTTTTCTTCTTGCCTCTTTTGTCTAAAATTTTTTAAAGCTTTGTTGAAGTATAATTGACAAAATTGTAAGATATTTAAAGTGTACACTGTGATGACTTGCTATACATGCACATTGTGAGGACTGCCCTCCCCCCATCTAGTTAATTCATCCACCATCTCATATTTATTTTTTCCTTTGGGGGGTTTCTATTGTGGCACCAACATGTAAGATGCAAAGAGTAGAGTGGGGGCTCTACATTTGATTCTTTCGTTTTATTTTTTATTTTATTTTTATTTTATTTTTTAAGATTTATTTATTTATTCAGTCATGATAGACATAGAGAGGCAGAGACACAGGCAGAGGGAGAAGCAGGCTCCCTGAGGGTAGAGCCTGATGCAGGACTCGATCCCGGGACCCAGGGATCACGACCTGGACCAAAGGCAGATGCTCAACCACTGAGCCCCCCAGGCGCCCTTCTGCATTCGATTCCTTAATAATTTACTGCTCCACCCAGCTAGCATTTATTTGGCTCCTGGATATGCTGGGTGTGTGTGTGGACGGAGGAGGGCGGAATAATGGGGTGAGAGAGGTGACGAAGAGTAAGAAGGCGTTCTTCCATGAGGACTCAAGAGTGGAGGGAGACAAGTGGACACGCGCTGTAACCAGCAAGTATTGTTTCACAGAAAGATGGAGAAAGTGCTGTAACGGCACAGAAGATGGAGCAGCTAAGTGGCCTGGAGAAGGCCAAGAATGACTTCACTCAGGAGAGAAATGGAGTTGATCTAGAAAAAGGAACAGGTTTGCCATCAAAGCAATTGGGTGCGAGGGTGTTGTAGGCAGAGGGTGACGCACAGACCCCAGAGTGGAGAATGGTGCGACTTGGGGTTCCTGGGCCAGGGCGGTTGTGTGTGTGTCACATTGTAGCAGGGGGAACCGCACTGCGAAACTGGGCCTTGCCTGAGTTGTCTTGGTTTTCCCGCCCATTTGTTGTTACAGCTACTGTGTGGTTTGAGGATGAAGAGGTAACATGCGCGGCCGCGAGATTCGGTGGCTCCTGGCCGTGTGTGGGGCATCTGGGGGGATGTGCCAGCGGGGGACGCACATGTGCTGCTCCCCTGGACTGCCCTATTCTATCCTGCAGACTCCTGCAAGACACGTCTGCGATGGGCCTGTCCTCAGAATTTCCGGGCTTCCCACCTCAGGGTCAGTGTGAGGCCTCGGCCGCAGCCCAGGGATCCTAGGTGGGTGTGACGCTTGTCCCTTCACCCCCAAACCAGAATCCAGGCCATGCCCTCGCTGTTCTCCAACAACCACAGATCCACCTCCGGCCCCAGGCTTTGACCTGTGTCCCTCATTGGCAACCCTTTCCTCAGGTAACCGGTGAGGAAACCGTTTCCTCCGGTATCTGCACAAACGTCCCTTTATCAGAAAGGCCTAACCCCCCACCAGTCCCCACCTGGCGTTACTCCTACTTTATTTTTCTTCAAGTTGAGAGCAGAGACTTTTTTTTTTTAATTCACTCTTTTCTTCCCAACAACTAGAATTGTGCCTAGCATTAATTTGGAGTGAAACATAAATATGTGTTCTCTGAATGAATGAGGGAGAGAAAGCGGCCTGGGGGCCCATCTAAGACCCTTGAAAATCCAGCTAAGAATTCTGGATTTCATCCTGTAGGCAAAAGGAAGAGAACCGATGTTTCCGGTGCAGTCTACAGTGAATGTTAATCTTTTGTGTTAGTCCCTACATTAGTTGGTGGTTGCGGTCAAATTGAACTTTTTTCCAAATACTAAAACCAACCTTTTGCCTTCTTTCCAGTAGTTACTAGTCCTTAAAACCTGGTACCATGGCAAAAATGCATTGTGTTAGCAATGTCGTTAGGTAGTAAAATTAGAATGCAGGCTTTATTTAGTTTTTGTTCAGAGACACAGATACTTTTACTGAGGCTCCTGTGGTGTTTTAGTGTAAAGTTCTCAGAATGTTTTATTTTTTATAATATTTGGAGGGCTGTTGACTTGTGTTAGCTTGCAGTAGTAGATGCTGTGTGATTTATTGAATAATTTACTTGGGTTTCTGGACAAGCGTATAAGATGGAAAGAGAAATGAGCATAAAGTATTCTGGAAGGGAATTCAGAAGCTCTGGTGATAGAGGAGAGTATTGTGCAGAACTTGGCTCACCCAGGGGTTAGAAGGAACGTGATGATGCCCCTGACAAACTAATGATTCAGCACCCCTCGTATCATTTAAATCTTTAATATTTTGAGAGAGACTTAGGAGAAATATGAAGAATTTTATTCATTAACAGATTTGCTTATTTCATTATTGCAAGTTAGAACAGAATCAGTATGTATTAAAAATAAGCAAATTGTAGCAAAGTTTTCCAAATTTCTGTATTCTTGGCCTTTAGTGTGTGAGCATTTCTTAGGACAGTTTCAAATTTAAAGATCATGGGCAGCCCTGGTGGCTCAGCGGTTTAGTGCCGCCTTCAGCCCAGGGTGTGATCCTGGGGTCCCGGGATCAAGTCCTGCATCGGGCTCCCTGCATGGGGCCTGCTCCTCCCTCTGCCTGTGCCTCTGCCTCTCTCTGTGTGTCTGTATCT